CTTGAGATCCTGTAAAATTCATGTATATTAAAACTAAGCAAGATATACTCTGGGTTCACATGTAAAATGGAGCTAGATATCTTGCGGGGGACACTGAAAAGTCACTCAGGCATAGGAAAATTACTCTTCACACAGGACCATGTTGTACACAGTAGGATGGCTTGGCCCTCAGTTTCTCATAGGCTCTCTGCCCCATTTACGATAGGATTCAAAATCCCACAAACTACCAAAATGACCATAGGGGGCAGTACCACCCCATTGACTACCACTGTTCAAGACCTATTCTATAAGAACAACCACCTGTGGTTTATTTAACTTAACTCATCAGTATTAAATGAAATTAAAATTTCTGTTTCTCAGTCATACTAACCACATTTCAACTGCTTAAAAGCCACATGTAGCAAAAACTCTGGGAGACAGTGAAGGACAAGGAAGCCTGGCATGCTGCCATCTGTAGGGTCGCAAAGAATTGGACACGACAGAACAATAACAAAAAAGCAAAAATTACCCACAGAAAAAAGTCCAGATCCACATGGTTTCACTAGCTAACTCTACAAATATTTAAAGAATTAACGCCAGTTCCTCACAAACTCTTCCTTCAAAATAGAAGAGGGAATACTTCTCAACTCATACTCTGAGGCCTACATTGACTAGATATTAAAACCAAACAAAAATGACGCAAGAAAAGGAAATTACAGACCAGTTTCTGTCATGAATGTTGGCATAAAAGTCCTCAGCAAATTACTAGAAAATCTCATACATAAACCATAAACCATAACCAAGTGGGATTTTCTCAGAAATGCAAAGTCAGGTTTTTTGGTTTTTTTTTTAGTTATTTTTATCTGGCTGCAGTGGGTCTAAGTTGTGACACATGGGACCTTTAGTTATAGCAAACTCTTAGTTGTGGGTTCCAGTTCCCTGATCAGGGATTGAACCCAGGCCCCCTGCATTGGGAGCACGGAGTCTTAGCCACTGGACCACCAAGGAAGTCTCGCAAAGTCAGTTTTAATTAAAAACCACATGATCAAAAAAATAAAAAATAAAAACCACATGATCATCTCAATAAGTTAAAAAAAAAAAAAGCATTTGACAACATTTTTCACCCCTTCATGAGCAAAACACCTAACAGAGTAGGCATAGAAGGGAACTTCTTCAATATAATAAAAGGCATCCATAAAAAATCCACAGCTAATATCATACTTAATGAAAAATGACTGAAAGCTTTCCCCTAAGATCAGGAACAAGACAAGAGTGTCCACTGTTGTCATTTCTATTCAGCGTTGTACTAGAGGTTCTAGCCAGTGCAATTAGATCAGAAAGTGAAACAAAAGGCATTCAGATTAGGAAGGTTTGCGGAGAATGTAATCTTGTATATAGAAGATCCTAAGGACTCTACAAAAACCTATTTGAACTAATAAATTCAGCAGGGCTGGAGGGCAAAAAGATCAATGGACAAAAATAATTTGTATTTTTAGACAATTGCAATGAAAAACCCAGAAAGGAAATTAGGACAGTAATTCCATGTACAAAAGCACCAAAAACAGTAAAATATTCAGGCAAAATTTTATCTTTTTTTTTTTTTTTGCTGTGCTGGGTCTTCACTGCAGCGGGCAGATGTAGTTGGCCTGCAGCATGTGGGATTCTAGTTCTGAGACCAGGGATCAAACCTGTGTCCCCCGCACTGGAAGGCAGACTCCTTACCACTAGACCACCAGGGACATCCCTAGGCATAAATTTAACAAAAGAGATACAAAATGTGCACGATGAAAGCAACAAAATATTGTTGAAAGAAAATAAAGAAGATCAGGTCCCTGGTGGCTCAGACTGTAAAGAATCCACCTGCAATGCAGGAGACCTGGGTTCAATCCCTGGGTTGGGAAGATCCCATGGAGAAGGAAACGGCAACCCACTCCAGCATTCTTGCCTGGAGCATTCCGTAGACAGAAGAGCCTGGCAGGCTATAGTCCATGGGGTCGCAAAGAGTCAAACATGACTGAACGACTAACACTTTCATTAATAAATAAGTGAAGGACATCCCATGTTCATGGATCATAAATTAGCCCTTTCATTGATGTGGTTCAGGTTTAATCCTGGATGGGGAACTAAGATCCCACAAGCCACAAAGGGCAGCAGACAAAAGAAAAAAAGTTTTTTTTTAAAATTCCACATGTAAATGAAATCCTACAGTATTTGTCTTTTGCTATCAATCTTATTCATCTAGCGTAATGCCTTCAAGCTTCATCCATGTAGCTGCAAATGGTAGAATTCATGTGTGTGTGTATGTGTGTGTTTGTGTCTTTTTTTGCCACAACTTCTTCATCCACTTATCCATCAGTGGATACTTAGGTTGTTCCCATGTCTTGGCTATTGTAAATAACACTGCTATGAACATAGGGGTGCAGGTATTTTTCTTTTAAAAAATTTTTATTTATTTTTGGTTGCACTCAGTCTTCGTTGCTTTCTCTACTTGCAGTGAACCAGGCTACTTTTCCTTGAGGTGCACCGGCTCTAGAATGAGTGAGTTCAGTAGTTGTGGCACTCAGGCTTACTTGCTCCACAGCATGTGGTCTTTCCGGACCAGGGATCGAACCTGTATCCCCTGCATTGGCAGGCAAATTCTTATCCACTGAGTCACCAGGGAAGTCCAGATATCTTTTCAAATTAGTGCTTTCATTTCCTTTAGATATATTCCCAGAAGTGGAACTGCTGCATCATATGGTAGTTCTTTTAATTTTTTGAGGATCTTCTTACCGTTTTCCATAGGGGCTGCACAAATTTACAATCCCACCAATGCTCAAGGGCTCTCTTTACTATTCATCCTTGCCAGCGTTTGTTATCTCTGGTCTTTTTGAGGATGGCTATTCTAAGAGGTGTGAAGTGACATGTTACTGTGGTTTTGATTTGCATTCCCCTAATGACTAGTGGTTTTTTTGTTTTGTTTTGGCCGCCCCACTCGGCTTGCGGGATTTCAGTTCCCTGACCAGAGTCTGAACTCAGGCCACAGCACTAAAAGCCAGGAATCCTAACCACTAGGCCACCAGGGAACTCCCATGACTAGTGATATTGAGCATCTTTTCAAGTACCTGTTGACCTGTTAACCTTTCATATTTCTTTGGAGAAATATCTATTCAGTTCCTTTGCCCACTTTAAATTGGATTATTATTTTTTTGCTACTGGATTGTATTATTTCTTTACATATTTTGGATATGAATTCAGCCATCTGTATTTCAACAAGCCTTATGGTGCACACTCATTGGAAAAGACCCTGATGCTAGGAAAGATTGAAGGCAAAAGGAGAAGAGGTCAGCACAGGATGAGATAATTGGATAGCATCACTGACTCAATGGACATGAACTTGGGCAAACTCCAGGAGATAGTGAGGGACAGAGAAGCCTGGCGTGCTGCAGTCCATGGGGTCACAATATTCCGACACTGACTTAGCAATTGAACAACATGGTGCACACTAAAGTTTGAGAACCACTGAAATAAGACAAGATGAAAGGTAGAGTCAAACCACAACATGATCTAAGCCAACATCAACTGAGTGCCATGCTTTCCCAGGGGCTCATGTAATTTCCACAGCCACTTTATGATGTGTTGGTCTTATTAACATCTGACAGATCAAGAGATTGAGGTTCAGAGAGATGAAGAGATTTGCACAAGATTTTAGAACTACTGGATAGCAGATTTGGGACCCCAAAACCAGGTTTCTCCACCTCCAAAGCCCATGCTGTCAACCACCAAGTCAGCGTTTTCCCTGAATGTGGGCCAAAAATATCACTGATAGAGATGGGGTAGTCTTAGAGGGTACTTGAATGTTCGTTTTATATTCCACTAGCTATATATTTTAACACATTCTTGAAAAACTATATATATAACTAGCATTCCAAACTCATCATTTTAATAGTAACATTGTTTTTCTTTAAAATAACCAAATTTTATTAAAAGTTAATTGCTTTAATGAAAAATCTTAATAAAGTATTGTTATGCACAGGTATAGCAAATATGGTAGAGACAGTAATAATGAAGAGTGGGAAATACTGCAAAGTCAACCTCATTTACTTTGAAAATGTGTAACAGATTTGTGCATTTTACTGTATGTAAATAACCTTGAAAAGGGACTGTAAACAAGACTAGATTCTAGGTAAAACTGTGCATGCCGAAGCATTTAGAGGGAGGTTTTTTTGTAGTCACCCTCTTTCTTTGAAACACATCACAAAAATAAGTTGAACTAAGGAAAGGTTAGATGTGCGTGGAAGGTTGGCTACATGACAAAGCAAACAGCAAAACATTCACTGTAGAAGCCAGGTGGTGCATACAATAGTACTCATTGTGGAAGTTCTTTCAGCCTCTGTAGGTTTGGAAACTTACATGTTGGCAGAAAAAAAGGTATATAGATTGTCCCACACAGTGAATGAATAAAGGAACTAACAAATAAAGCCTCAAAGACTAGACCATTTGCTGAAGTGCTTCCTTCACACTCTCCTTGTATATATTCCCTAGTGAACTTACTATTTTTATAAACAGAACAAAATGTTTTTGTTTTTTAAAGTCTTTACTGAATTTGTTACAATATTGCTTCTGTTTTATGTTTTAGTTTTTTGCCCAAGAGGCTTGTGGGATCTTACCTCCCTGACCAGGGATCGAACCCCCAACCCTTGCATTGGAAGGTGAAGTCTTAACCACTGGACTACCAGGGAAATCCCAGGAAATGTTTTCAAAAAGAAAAATGGCCAAGAGTCAATTGATAAAATAGGCATTTATTCCGAGGGCCTAATGCCAAGATATTCCCTGAAACCAGCTTGGTAGTGGTAGAAAAATTGCTGCCCCTCCATCCAAGGGGAATGGGGCCTCAGCACTTTTCTACACCACAGCCATGTAGGAAAGGCTGGGGATAGACCTCATAGATGGGATCTGGGTGGGCATGGGGTTGGTCCAACCTGTCCACCTTTCAGTAGAGACCCAGGTCAGTGTGTCCTATGTCCCAAGGAGTCAGAATGTCAGGAGAGTTGGCAGAGGAAGTCATGCAGAGGCAGGGCCAGGAGCCCTGAGAGCGAGATCCCCAAGGTGTCAGAGATACAGGCGGTTGCCATGGCAAATTCCCGGTGCTCATCGCTGGTCTGGGGAGGGTGGGGAGCGAAGGTGAGGCTTCAGTCCTCAACACTCCTGCTTGGGACTTTTCCCAGAGAGGCCGCCCACCCACAGCCCTCGCCCAGCTGGTGCTGACCTCCATGGCAATGTTGTGAAAGGTGTTCACGTAGGCCGCACCCCCTAGGAGCCCCTCATACACAATGATCAGGAAGACAAGGTAGATGCTCGGCAGGAAGCTCAGCCACACGTCCACCAGCAGGAAGGCCAGGTTGAGGCACTGTGGGTGCAGGGAGAGGAGAGGGGTGAACCTGGGACCAGAGGAGGGCAAGAAGGGAGGTGCCATCCCATCCAGTGGTCCCGGGTCTAGGAGAATGCTGATGAAGGTGAGGGCTGACAGGCGGGGACCAAATTCCAACACCCAGCTGGCCTACTGGACCCTGGGACCTGGGGGAGGCCTTCTCCCTACCGCTTCCCAGCAGCCTGGACCCTGGAGGTCTCCTCCCCTCCTCCCTACGCCTGTGTCACCCCCACCGTCTGGGATGCTAGCCTGCGGTCCCCCGCTTGGGCTCTCCTAGTCACCACTGTTCACGGCTCAGCTTGGATCAAGGCCACTCTCACTCCCATGATCTCATTCCTCCTCCCAAAGGCTCCCTGAGGGGAGAGGTCTCCCTTCCCCCGATTTTACCAGCCAGATGCTAAGTGAGACCAGAGGTTCTCAACTGGGCGTGACTCTGACGCCTATGGGACATGCGGCAACATCCAGAGATGTTCCTGGTTGTTACACCTGGGGAGGGAGGGTGCTACGGGCAAGGAGTGGGTAGAGGCCAGGGATGCTGCTCAACATCCTATGGCTCCCAGGGCAGCCTAACAACGAAGAACCATCCAGGCCCAAAATGCCAATAAAGTCGAGATTGAGAAAGGAGGGCTAAGGTGTTCCCTTGCCTTCTAGGAAGGCTTGCTGACTCCTTCCAAGGGTGTAGGTCCCATCCTCTGTGCCCTAGTCCTTCAGGGCATCCTACCAACCCAGTGGGACATAAGTTTGCCTCCCTAGTCTGTAGGCCACCCCAGTGGTTCACATGCTTAATGTATTGGGTTGGCCAAAAAGTTCATTTGAGGTTTTCACTACAATGGCATGGGGAAACCTGAACGAACTTTTTGGCCAAGCTAATACATACAGATCACCTGTGGGTCTTGTTACATAGGCCTTGCCCTCAGAGGTTCTAATTCAGGAAGCCAGAGGTGGGCTCAGAGAGCTGCATCTAAAAGAACACACCCTGGTAATACCAAGGTCACCCTAGAAATACTGCACACACATTCATCTGGCACATCAGGGCCAGATGCTTTCTGTAATGGAATCAAACGATTATACGCTGCTAATTCTATGAAGTAGCCTTGCTTAAAATTATAGCGAAAATCATAAGTGACTCATTTCAGTGGCATCTAATGAAGAATCCGAGTTAAGAACATACCATTTGGAACTTGGCAAGTACAAAGCCCTAGGCTGACAATAGTTTAAATAAATAAGGAAGAAACTGAGAGGATATTTGCATGCAGTTGACTTAACATTAAAGTATAATCTATTCTAATGCTGTACCTTGTTATCATAAAAGTGAGTTAAAATTATTAAAAAGGGCAAAGGACTTTCCTGTAAGTTCAGCTGCTCAGCCGTGCCCAACTCTTTGAGACGCCATGGACTGCAGCATACCAGGCTTCCCTGTCTATCACCAACTCCCGGAGCCTACTCAAACTCATGTCCATCGCGTCAGTGATGCCATCCAACCACCTCATCCTGTCTTCCCCTTCTCCTCCTGTCTTCAATCTTTCCCAGCATCAGGGTCTCTTCCAGTGAATCAGTTATTCACATCAGGTGGCCAAAGCATTGGAGTTTCAGCTTCAGCATCAGTCCTTCCAATGAATATTCAGGACTGATTTCCTTCAGGATGGACTGGTTGGATCTCCTTGCAGTCCAAGGGACTCTCAAGACCAAGGGACTCTCCAACATCACAGTTCAAAAGCATCAATTCTTTAGTGCTCAGTTTTCTTTATAGTTCAACTCTCACATCCATAAATGACTACTGGAAAAGCCATAACTTTGACTAGATGGACCTTTGTGAGATTTATTTTTTAAAGGTCACCTTTTTATATGCCCTTCTGGGCTTCCCTGGTGGCTCAGACGGTAAAGAGTCGGCCTGCGGAGACCCAGGTTCAATCCCTAAGTAGGGAAGATCTCCTGGAGAAGGAAATGGCAACCCACTCCAATATCCTTGCCTGGAAAATTCCATGGACGGAAGAGTCTGGCAGGCTACAGTCCATGGGGTCTCAAAGAGTCGGACACAACTGAACAACTTCATTTTCTTTCTTTCTGTTCCCAAGAGCATGGTCCAGAGTGATATTAAAATAATTTGGAGGTTGCCAACCACTTGTTTTGGGCTTCCCTGATAGCTCAGTGGTAAAGAATCCGTCTGCTAAGCAGGAGATGTAGATTTAATCACTGGGTTTTGGAAGATCCCCTGGAGAAAGAAATAGCAACTCGCTCCAGTACTCTTGCCTGGAAAAAAATCCCCTGGACAGAGCAAACTGGCAGGCTACAGTCCATGGGATCGCAAACAGTTGGACATGACTGAGCGGCTGAGCACACAATAAGGACTTATTTTTGTTTGACCAAGAACTCTGACATTTAGAAACGAATAAAAAGACATGAATGTTTAAAATCATGTTTTCTTAAAAAAAAAAAAGAAGTTGAAGGTTTATTAGTTACCTTCAGTGGCTTTAATTGCATGACAATGAAATGATTGCTGGTTATGTAAAACTCCTTTCATTAAAATTGTTGTATGGAATGGTGTTTTTGCTTATTTAAAGCTTAATCACTTACATGACCTTTGCCATGAATTTGCTCACCAGTCTTGAGATAAATAACCTGCTTTACTCACAAAGTCACTGGTTCTATATAATTACATCCGGGATAAAAGAACAGGACGTTTTTCTGATTGTTAGAAACATGCTTTGAAAGTCTGTCTCTTTGCATGAGGCTTGGGTAAATAGTCATCTAACTGATTAAGACATGATACACAATCTCGCTCTTTCATGCTTCACATTTCCATTTCTTACAACCATGCCCAGTTTACAGATGAAGAAACTGAGGTTCAAGATTAGCTCAGAGACCTGCCCTAAATCACACAGCTACTGAGTATAGAAGCTGGGATCTGCACCCGGGTTTGCTGGGCACCTGAGGCCATGCATCTTACACAGACCCCTGTTGGCCTCCATTCCCCATGATTAGAACATGATGGGATGCGATCAATAACCCCTGATGAGGGAGAGAAATGACGGAACCTGGGGAAGCTGGGAGCCAAGGGAGGAGGGGAGTGAGGGCCAGGGGCTCAGTACCTGCAGCAAGGCCAGGATCCACGTGTGGCGGATGCGACAGCAGCGGAGGGAGGAGCGGGAGGCAAAGACGCCAGCCTGGTACAGCATCTGGTACCTTCGATGGGGCACGGAGAAGGAGGAAGCCCCTCTGGTGCCTCCTCGGCAGGGCAGCCCCTCCCAACCCCAGTCCTTATCATCGAGGGGCACCCCCAGCCCCCTGCTGGTCCTGCCACCCACCCCCACACTTCTCACCAGCGGTACTGCTGAGCATGAGTCAGGAACGTGTTCCTGAAGAAGAGGAGTTCAAACTGCAGCAAAGAGCAGACAGGGGAGATGGACAAGGCCGTGTGGGTCCCCACCTCCATCACTGTTCCCACGCCCCTCCTGGCAGCCCTCACTCACAAGTCCTTGGTTGATGAAATACTCAGCGAAGTAAACCAGCACCAAGGGGACGATATAGTGCAACAGGCCCTGGAAAGTCAGGAGACGTGAGTGGGAGGCGGGTGATGAATGCTGGCCACGGGGGACACGCCACAGCCACCATCCGTACCTTAAACACGGTCCACCTTTCCTGAAGGGAAAGGGGTGAGCCGAAGCCTGCAGGGCGGCAGGGAGAGAAGGGCAGGTGAGGTCAGCACCTTGACTCAGAAAAAGGGGTGCTGGTGTGCAGGAATCAACCAGCCAACACTACAGTGTGAATGCACACAGGCCACTGGACTGTACAATTCAATATGGTTAAACTGATAAACTTCATGGTATGAATGTTACCATGATTTAAAAAAAAAAGTAACCAGATAAAATATTTTTTCATGACTCCTGTATAGCCCTTATTTTTTTTGCCACATGGTTCAGCATATGGGATCTTAATTCCCTGACCAGGGATTGAACCCGTGCCCCTTGCATTGGAAGGCAGAGTCTTAACCACTGGACCATCAGGAAAGTCCCTGTATAGCTTACAGCTTGATGGTGGTATACAGGGCCCTGCCCGCAGCCACACTGGGCCCCTCTTTCTGTTTCTTTGAACAACATCCAAGCTCATTCCCACCACAGGGCCTTAACACTTGCTGGTCCCTCTGCCTGGAACCTATTCACCCCAATGGACACAGAGCTGACTCCCTGTCTTTCATATTTCAGCCCAATGAGATGTCCTCAAAAAGGCCTTCGATGAGCACCTTCTCTAAGTAGAACCCCTCTCCTTCCCACCATGTCATTTCCAAGCACATCACTCTGTTATGCTCTTCTAATACTTATCAGCATCATGTGAAAATGAGTTTCTGATCTGGTTATTTGTTTACAAATGACATAACACATAGTATTTGATAATTTTTTTTTTTTTTTTTGCCGTACTACACAGCATATGGAAACTTTGTTCCCTGACCAGGGACTGAACCCATGCCCCTTGCATTGGAAGTGCAGAGTCTGAACCACTGGACTGCCAGGGAAGTCCCAAAGACAAGTGTTTCTTGAATAGACTAATGTGATTGGCTCTCACCATAACCGGCCTGCCCATCCATGTCCCCTCCAAACTGCCCACAGTAGAAAGGAAAAGACTGAAACCCAGAGAGAGAAAGTGACCACTGCTCTGAGGGGCTCCTGAGTCTCCTACCTGGCTTCGACTCTGAAGTCTCATTGTTGATCAGCGGCTGCCGAGCTGCTGGGTCTGAATCCTCTTCCCCTCTAGGATCCTGTGGCCCAGGAGATGTGAGCAACAAGAAATAGCTAGAAAAGGACAGAATGAAGAGAAGATTGAAGAGCCTCTGTCGGACTGGAAAGGCCACTCCCTCCCAGGATAGCCCCCATCATTCCTCCCCTCCTCCAAGACACCTCAAACCTGGCCAGAGAGCCTTTAACTGTGCAAAAATGCTTCTTCCTCTGGAGCTGAAATGTATATCCTTGTTTCTAAACCACGGGCCCTCATTTTGACTCTCGGCTCACAACAAGCGTATCAGCTCTGTCTTCTTGTTATTTTTCTAATAATCACTCTCATTTAGTCACTGAGTCATCTCAGACTCTGACCCCATGGACTGTAGCCCACCAAGCTCCTCTGTCCATGGGATTTCTCAGGCAAGAATACTGGAGTGGGTTGCTGTTTCTTTCTCCAGGGGATCTTCCCCACCCAGGGATCGAACCCATGTTTTCTGCATTGGCAGGTGGATTCTTTAGCACTGAGCCACCAGGATAGCACCAATAATCACTCCAGCTTCCATTGATGATGTGCTCATCCTGTAAGACGCTGATGCTGGGAGGGATTGGGGGCAGGAGGAGAAGGGGATGACAGAAGATGAGATGGCTGGATGGCATCACCGACTCGATGGACATGAGTTTGAGTAAACTCCGGGAGTTGGTGATGGACAGGGAGGCCTGGCGTGCTGCGATTCATGGGGTCGCAAAAAGTCGGACACGACTGAGCAACTGAACTGAACTGAACTGAGCATCCTGTACTAGACCAGAACTTCCCAAAGTTTGGTCACTTATGTTTTGCCTTCATGATATTTGCCATGTCCATATCCCTCCTGCATATCATATTTTTTTACTTAGTATTTCCCTTTCAATTGATTCCCTTTTTTCTACATGGCCTGGTCCTAAGCGATCATCTGTGAAATCACAGGTTTGATTGACCAATGAAAATGTTTTCCTAACACACATGAAAATACACACAAGATGAACAGGGTCCACCTACGGGAAAACTGAGGGTCAGAGGTGTAAAGCAACTTGTCCCATATAAGACCGCTAACAAGAAGCAGGCTCCAGAATTCAAACCCCGGCCTGTCAGAGACCAGAACCCATATCCCCCCACTTGGCTGTAGGGATCTGAAGATCAGGATCATGGTCAAGTTCTCACTCCTCGAATCCCTCTTCCTTCCAGCCCAGGGCTGCTTACCTGGCCAGCAGCAGGGCGGGGATACCCAGCATGGACAGCAGGGTGTGCTGGGGAGAGAGGCCAGCCTGGGTGAGGCCCAGGTAAGACAGTGCCCCTAGCAGCCCTGCTCCCCCAGTACCTGAGGACCAGCAGGAGATCACGGCCCTGAGAAGGAGAACACAGTAGCAGTAGGTAGGATCAAAGCCAGCAGCAGGGCCCCCTCCTCCCCTCACTCCCTGCTCTGCCTGCTTACCTGGGGTAGAAGGCAGTGAGAGAGAGGAAGGTGACCTCCCCCAGACCCGAAGAGATGCTAGCCAAGACCACACCTGGGGGACGACAAGCATGGCAGTGGCCACACCTGGCCTTTCCCCGACAGCCCCAATCCCCTAAGCAGGTATGGCCGCAACCTCCTCTGCATCCACACGGAGGGGCTGAAAAGAGATCTCCTGGGACTTCCCTGGTGATCCAGTGGTTAAGAATCCACCTTCCAATGTAGGGAACGTGGGTTCGATCCCACATGATGATGGGCAACTAACTTCATGCTCCGCAACAAGAGAACACCAAGCCACAACTAGAGAAGACCCTGCATGCCGCAAACTAGAGAAAGCCCTCATGCCACAAGGAAGACCCCACGCAGCCAAAAATCAAATAAATAAAAACAGCTCCCTGGGATAGGCTGGGCTCCAGATGTGAAGTAGAACCAAGCCCCTTCCTCTGTACGTCTTCTCATAGGGAATGGCACCCTCCACCCACCCAGCTATCAAACCAAGAGCAAGAACTCATTCTTTTTGTTTGTTTTGGCTGGGCGTGCAGCTTGCAGGATCTTAGTTCCCCAACCAGTTTTCCAACCTGGGCCACAGCAATGAAAGCGCTGAGTCCTAACCACTGGACCACCAGGGAATTCCCAAGAATTCCCTGTCCTTGATGCCTCCTCCACCTCCATCACAAACTCTTGGTGACTGCTCATCTTGATCTCCATCTATTCTGTCCATTTTCTCCCATCTCCCCTACCTATCCCCCCAGATTGACCTCATGTCCTGTTTCCTACCGTGACAGTTTTAGCAGGTGTCTGAGGGTTAAAAATGATCTCTCTCCTCTGGGAAGTTGGGGAGACTACCTTGTCTGTTGTGGATCCTTTGAACCCCCCACTTGACATAAAACCTCCCACTCACCACACAGGCTGATCGTCACGGAATGAGAAAAGGCAACTAGGAGGAAGCTTCCTGCAGCACAGATCCCACTGGTGAGCACCCGGGGGCTGGAGGGAGGTGGGAGACGGGGATGGTCAGCTATCATTCTCAGCTCCCCAGCCCTCCCCGTCTCCCCACTCACAGATCCCACCTGCCTTTCCTCCCGCCACCCACACCCAGACCTGTAGGGCAGCAGATGAAGGCCAAGAGGAGCCAGCAATTTGATGACGAGGGTGGGAAGGATGTCGGCCAGAAGCACTGCCTGGGATCAGAGAATCCGAATGAGACCCCAGACCTTCCCAGGGACAAGCCTTCCAACCCAGTGGCCAGGGAAAGACAGAAATCCGGTTAGTTGGGTACAAACACAGGTTCTGACATCACATAGGTCTGGATCCCAGTCCCAGCTCTGCTGCTCCTGAGTTATGTGTTCAGTATTCACATTCTCTGAGTTTCAGTTTATTGAGAAAATGGAGATCCTTATAGAGTCTAACTCACAGTACTGTTACATGGATTCAATAAGCTAATTCCTGCTGCACACAGGAAGTGCTCAGTAGATGGCAGCCTTAATGATTAGAATCATTAAGATTAGAATTAGAATCATGCTGGGTTCTGAGTGGGTGGGATCTATGGACCCAGAAGAAGGGGAAGGGGAGGACCAGATGGGTACTCACTGCTGTGGAGACAGGGTTGCAGTCAAATCGAGATGAGCTATTGTGGGAGGTGGGCGTTGAGTCTGGGTCCACCTGATGGGAGAGAAGAAAGTTTTTCACCCAGGGAGGCAGGAGGGCAGACAAACAAGGTCTGATTCCATTCCCAGCTCTGCTCTGACTTGAAGGATGTCCTTGGGTCAGTCCTCGCCTCTTAAGACCTCACTTTCTCTACGGGCTCAATGGGAAGGGGGAGGTTTCCACCGGAGTCTCAAATTAAAGGTCGACATGTCAAAGAGGGCCCTGTAAACGGACTTTATTTGGGTAACACACTCGGGAACTTTCATTTTAAAAACCTAGGTTTCCAGACAAATTTGATCTTGGACCAAATTTCCTGTTGGACCTGAAAGGTGGTAGCTGCTCCTCTTAGGCCTGCCTCCTCTAGCTCATGATAGACAAGAAGTTTTCAACCAAAGGTGATTATACCCTCCAGGGAACATTTGGCCATGTCTGGAGACATTCTTGGTTGTCATCAACTGGAGGGTGAGGGACATTCTATTAGTGTCCAGTGGGCAGAGGCCAGATATGCTGTTAAACATCGTATGATGCATAGGAAAGTCACCCAACAAAGAATTATCCAGCCCCAAATGTGTCAAGAATAATGCTGGGGTTAAAAAACCATGCTTTAGACCATAGTCCCACCCAGCCAACATTTGAGTTTGCAATTGGTTTGCAAGAACCAACTGATTCTTTTCTAAAAAAACAGTTTTAAATTTTATTTATCTTTGGCTATACTGGGTCTTCATTGCTGCACAGTCTTCTCTCTAGTTGTGGCAAGTGGGGGCTACTCTCCAGTTGCAGTGGGCAGGCTTCTCACTGTGGTAGCCCCTCTGGTTGCAGAGCAGGGACTCTAGGGCACTCAGGATTCAGAAGTGGCAGCCCACAGGCTCAATGGTTGCGGCTCCTGGGCCCCAGAGCACAGGCTTAATAGTTGTGGCTCATGGGCTTATTTGCTCTGCGGCATGTGGGATCTTCTCAGATCAGGGATTGAACCCTTGTCTTCTACACTGGCAGGCAAATTCTTTACCACAGAGCCACCAAGGAAGCCCATACCAATTGATTCTTAAAGGCCCTTACTGCTCTGAGGTCTGGGAACTTTAGCCATCTTGCCCTACTCCTTAGCCACCCCATTCCATGAGTGTTTCAAGTGGGTCTCTGCCCAAGGTGAGTCCCTCATCTTCCCACAGCAACTGGTGGTGGTGGTAGAGAGGGTCACTTACATGGCTCTGATTCCCAGGTGTTCTCTGGTGACTAAGGATGTCGTGGGCAGCGCTGAGCATCACCACATAAGAGAAGTTGTTGCAGAGGCCCAAGAGCCTGGAGTCAGCAGGACAGATCCCCCCATCCCCAGTTTTATTGAGATACAATTGACAAATGAGAATAGATCATAACCTCTATTTAGGACTACAATCTATCCACCATCCCAGCACCAAACCTCCCCCTTCCCCATGCCTTCTTTTTCCTCTGTCTTCAGACCACATCCCCATGTAGTGGGAGGGTTCGAAATACAGGCCTCGGGATGACAAACTTAGGTTCACATCTAATCTTCGAGACCTCTCCCAGGAAGAGAAGGAAGTCATCCTTGATGATTCTCTCCTCCAAGCATCCACCATGACTCAATTCCTGGGGCATTTCTAATCCATGGATCCAATGTCTCCAACTATGGTACAGTAGAAAGATCCTGGGGGCTTGAAACCCAAAGGACTATGTTCAGGTCCCAAGTCTGCCACTTCCTACTTGAGTGGCCTCAGTCAAGTCATGTGTAACATGGGGGTACAAACTTCCCTGCTGACTATGTCAGAATGATGTAGAGATCAAAACAAGATAATACCCTTTATGATCTATGAAGGATCTTGTTCACTTACTCTCATCTCCCACAGCTGCTGTCAGCGATGGGTAGGGAACAGGGCACAGCAATAGAATTTCATGTGTCCTTTTCATAAGCCTACAAAGTGGTTCTGCTGCTCCTCCCATTTTACTGCCGAGAAACTGAGGCTCAGAGAGAGAAGCCTCACTTCCAACCCAATCTGCTACCCAAGTCCTTGATGCTTGTTGCTATTGTTGTAAACATCACCAAGTAGTGTCCGACTCTTTGCAATGCCATGGACTGTAGCCCGCCAGGCTCCTCTGTCCATGGGATTTTCCAGATAAGGATACTGGGGTGGGTTGCCATTTCCTTCTCCAGGGGATCTTCCCAACCCAGGAATCAAACCTGGTTCTCCTGCTTGGCAGGTGGATTCTGTACTGCTGAGCCACCGGGGAAGCCCCCTTGATGTTTAAGTTAGTGCTAAAATTATTTCCTAAGGCTCAGTATTTGAATGATTTCAGGAGGTAGACAGATGACTTTTTAAAGTTAGTGATGCATTTATTCAAAAGTGCATTAAGAAAATATTGGCGTTCAATCCAGAATAGTGACTTACAGTTTTCTTTTTAAAAATACATGTATTTATACATTTAAAGGCTGAGTTGATTGCAGTAAAAACAAGAAGAAAATAACCCTCCAGGTGATATGCAAAACTGACCAAAAGGTGAAAGTGAATGAGCGAAATGTGGAAAATTTACAGTGGATCCTCAGGGCAAAAAAAAACTTCCCTGGTGGCTCAATGGTAAAGAATCTGCCTGCCAAGGCAGGGAATGTGGGTTCCATCCCTGGGTGGGAAAGATCCTCTGGAAAAGCAAATGGCAAATCACTCCAGCATTCTAGCTGGAAAACCCCGCCGGCAAAGGAGCCTGCCTGGCAGGTTACAATTCACTGGGTTGCCAAAGAATCTCGACTTAGCGACTAAAACAACAACAACAAAATTTTGTGAATTCAGCTCCTTTTCTGAAGCTCAACTCTTTCTTTCCTCTTTCCTCTGTTGCTTCCCTCTTCCCACCCGCTTTTTACTTACTCAGGCCACTCACCAGAAGCCCACCGCGTTCTTCCAATGGGCGCCCTGACTGTCTTGCAGCGGAGGCCGAGGTGCCGGGTCTGTCTCCTCCCCTGAAAGAGGGAAAAAAGAGGGCATGACTCCCACCCCAGTCTCAGGTGCACGATGGTCCCACGGATATTCTCCCGGGGCCGACCAGCGCCGGAGCCTGTCAGGTACGTCGCGTGGACACAGGATTGACTCACTGAGGGATTATACTCAGCGGCTATACTCACCCTCGGAATCCGAAAGGCGCCGCGGCGAGCCCGTACAGCCTCCCATGGCATCAGGTTCTGGTCCCTCCGGGAGTCCGAAGTCAGCAAGAGTTCAAACTTGGCTCCAATGGGACGGATGAGGGTCTGAGACAGGTAAGAGGGATCAACGCCCCATTGCCGTCCCAGTTCCGAGTCCTCCGTTGCACTCACGCCCGGCGAGCCACGACCCTAACCCCGGGCTCCATCTCCCACCCTGGTACGCCCTACCACGCCCCGTTGTCGGACTCTGCCCCCGCCCCCTCTAAAGCAGGGGGCCCTGCAGCCTGTACCTTTAAGAGTAGCTGAACATTTCGCACCCGAACCCTTAAACAGACAGTCACGTGACAGCACCGGTGGGTCCCTCATCACGTGCTTCAAGGTCCTCACCACTTCCGGGTCTTCTCTCGGCCTTCGTTTTAGACCTTCCCAGCTTCGGGGCGTAGGAGAGATAGAGGCTGGGAGAATCCTGGTACCACCGGTTTAAAACTGGTGTGGATAGGATAAGCAAGAAGAGCTATGATGTTAGGTGGCAGCGCCCAAGGCCTTGAACGTCGTGCCAGCACTAGTCATGGCTACCAATGGCTTCAACTTCTCTCACGGCCTGCAACTGCCAGAAACAAATATGGCCACACAGCTACCCCAGACTGTTTCTGGCTGACAACAAAGGCAGCCGCTTCACATCATTTTTATTCCTATCTGTTGCCTTTAGATTGCTTTAGAAACTGTAAGTAAAGATAGCACCCAACTAAAAAGATTTTATGAATTATCTATTGGCAGTATCCAAGAGTTAAGGGAACTCTTTTCTTAATTTATGTTAGAACCAAGGTAGTTCAACCCTGGTTTTACAGATGAGAAAACAAAAAAGGAAAGCTACTGATGATCATACAAAATCAGATCTAAAGGTGACTTTAGAAACTCGGCATTAAGAAATAGAGCACCAGGGGCAGGGTTGCTGGCTGAGCTGGCTGCAGATTCCTGCCTGCATTCAGGGTGCTTAGACCAAATGATTCTAAGGCCGGAGATTCTGAGTCTGTGATCTCATCTAGTTACTCTCATTGAAAATTTAGAAAGTGAGGCTCCAAGAGGGGATAGAGGAAGAGGTGTAGATTAAAGTCATTTCACGTAGTCCCAAATAAGGAGCAGTTATCCTCTTACCTTCCTCTAGGTGGTAAAGCAGCATCCTGCATTTTCTTCATCACGTCCTTCCCCTGCTAATCTCTCTTGTGGGCTCCCAACAGTCAGTGCCCACCTCTCCCAGCTCTTTCTCCCCAACAGGCCCTCAGACTTGCTGTTTGAAGTGTACCCCCCTTGGTATGCTTCCCAGATCACTCAACCAATGAAAAACAGGATCCTACTGCCCATACTGGGCTCTAGAAATTCAGCAACATGTCATACATGGCCTCCTCCTTCAAGGAACTGGAAGGTGGGAGGTAGACGTGAATAACCACAATACAAAGTGTAGCCAAGTTTCGTTTTGCAAGAATGACTACAGATGAGCGAATGGGCATTGTAGCCACCAATCCAGCTCTTTCTTCCTCTTGGGGAAGCATTAATGACCCTGAAATGAGAAACCAGAGCTCTTACCAGCCCCCTGCTCACTCCTACTCCTTGTCCCCAGGCAAAACAGGAACCACAAACCCCAGCTTCCTCTCACAGAGAGGCTGTGGCTTTGAGGGGAGACAGAAATGGCTGAGGTGTAAATACAAGACCTGAGTCACTTGAGCTGCAGTTGCCCCATACTGCTTCAGCAGACCCCAATTCTGAGGTCTTTGGCTCCCACTTTTCCCTTTTGGTCTTCCTCCCTTGCCTTCTAGCTGCAAATGCACATCCAAGTCCCTTATGTGATAGATACCTATTTCCCAACCTGTGCTGGAAGCAGCTGTGGGCAGGGCTTGGGGTGGGGATGCGTCAGGAAGAGATAGGGGAAGAGGAAGTGTCTTGGGTCCTGGGGAAGACCGGTTCAGTGGGTGGGGACAGTCATTATCAGTTTTCTGGACACACAGAGACAGACAGGATGGATTTCCTCCGGCTACATCTCCCTGGGCTGCATCAGGCCTTGAGAGGGGCACTGGTGAGAGGGGCAAAGAGATGCTGGAGCCTTCCACCCTGCTCTCTGGGGCCTCACCTTCCTTTCTCCCTTTGAGTCTCTCCTCAGACCCAGATTCCTTCCCAGGATCAGGCAGCCTGTTAGCCCAATCTTCTTTGGATTTCAATCCCCCAATCCCCGCAAACATATCCACAGACCTCTCATCTAGGTCCTTTCCTACTCCTTCGGCAGATCCTGTCCTCCTCCTTCCCCCAGATCCTAGAACCCCTGTTTCTTATCCTGAGTGCCTCTGGCCCAGGGCCCCCAGGGAGAGGGCCGGGCCTCCCCTTAATGCCTTTTGTCTCCCTCCCTCTTTTTTTCTAGGACTCTCTCAATACCTTTGTTTCCTACCTTATAGGAGATGAAGTCCCCACTGTAGAGAGGAAGGAGGCATGTGCAGCTGAGGAACTGAGGGAGGTGGCTGCAGGAAGGCCCCTGGGGAAGGTGGAAGAGGAAGCCCAGGAGGCCCTGGAGGGTCTTGGAGGCAGTCAAAGCACGGAGGATGGAGGGCTGAGACAGCCTGGAGAGACTGGAAGATGCTGGGAGGAAAGCTCAGCTACAGAACATACCTCAGGTGGGGGAGAAGGCAGCTCCCGTGGGTCTCAAGCTGAGAGGCAGGACACTGGGGACTGGGAGGCAGCCATAGCCATCAGATGCCAGGATTCAGGTATCCCCTTGGAGGCCAGAAAGAAGTCGGAGGCTGGTCACGATAGGAGGGGCCAAGCTCTGGAGAGCCAGGAGCATGATGAGCAGGAAGTGAAGAGAGAGGAGACACTGAGAACATGGGAACGGGAGGAGGAAGAGGTCAGGGCAACAGAGCCAGGGGTGGCGGGAGGGGTGGAGTCAGAGCGGGCCTGGCACAAGGAGCCTGAGGGGAAGGCCGGTGCCGATGGGCACAAGGTGGCAGGGGATGGCAAGGAGTCAGAGCAGGTGGTCAGCGAGGCAGCGGCAGAGGAGATCCAGGGCCCTGGGGCCAAAGGGGCTGGCAGGGAAGAAGGGGTGGTGGTGGTCAGGTGTGGCCGAAGCCCAAGGGCACTGGGGACGCAGGAGCCGGGGGCAGAATCTGAGGATGGGGAAGCCTCAGGCAGGGAGGAGGCTGACCTCCCAGGAGTCGAGGAGGCAGAATATGGAGCAGCCCCAGAAAAAAGGATCCCAGAGGGTACTGGTAGAGTCTGGGCCCTAGAGGAGACCTCCAAGAGAGGCCAGGAGGAGGAGGTGGACGAGAATAGAGAGACTGAAGCGAGCCTGTTCCCTGAACAGACTCAGGTCCTGGGAACCTGGAGAGTGGAAGCGGAGGCCAAAGGCCAGGCAGCAGGAAGGGAGACTGAGGAAGGGCCGAGGTCAGTGGGGGGGGTAAGGGAGGGCTTTGAGGGCCAGGCAGATGGGGCTGAGGAAGAGGCCGTGGGGAGGCAGGGCTCAGAGGTCAAGGCTGGTCAAGCCAGTCTCAAGGAGGTGGTACAAACAGAGGAGGCTGAGGAGCAGAAGAAGGAGAGTTGCTCGGCCGCAGAGGCTGAGCTGCCCCAGGCCAAAGTAGCTAATGAGGCTAAAGGGGATGCTGACTTGGAGGCAACCCCAGAGGCCAGGCCCCAGCAGTTCAATGGGGGGAGGGGGGAGGAAGAGACTCAGACAGAGGATGAAGCATTGGAGGAGGAGCGGGGTGGCCTTGCGCACACGGTCACTGGAGGCCAAGAACCTGAGCTGATGGGAGGCCCCCAGACCACAACAGAGCAACTTGAAGAAGGGCCGGTGGGTAAAGAAGAGCTCCAGAGCCTTCTAGCCCTGAGCAGAGAGGAGACAGAGAGGAGCCTGCAGGAACATCCCAGGCACGTGGGGCATGTGAAGCCTATCAGCTCTGTGACCGAAGCCTGGGAAAATATAAGAAAGGATGTGGAGAGAGATGATGCCCAGGAGGAAAAAGGAGATGCTGAAGAGGGGGAGGAGGAGGCTACAAGAGGCCAGGCATTGGTGGTGGAGGCTGCAGGAGGCCGAGAGTTGGCACGACCAGCAATCCCAGAAGCAGGTGGGGAGTGGATGGAAGCCTGGCATGGAGCAGAGGAGGCGGAGGCCCCGGGAGCAGAGAACCAGGAGCAGGGCAGAAGGCACGGGGCAGAAGCAGGGACCAGCCAGTTCCTGGGAGAGTTGGACATCAGAGAAACCCAGGAGGAGGAGGTAGAGGCCCCTGGGCCCTTCGGGGAGGACAGACCCTCAGGGAAAGGCTGGAGGCTGGAGGCGGAGGCTTTGAGCCCCCAGAGCAGCGAGAGCCCGGAGGCAGATTCTTTGGCTGTTGAGATGGTGGAGGATAAGGCAGCTTTGGATGGAGGGGCCCTTGGGCCTGGAGAAGAGCCCGAAAGAGAGGCTGGGGATGCCTTTGGGAGAGGCTGGGATTCGGAAGGGAGAGAGGAAGCTCACAGAGGTGAGCTGGTGGAGGCTGCAGAGGGAGAGAAGGGAAGGGGGCAGGAGTTTGGCCTGGAGGGCTCAGCCGAGGAGGAGGTGCCTAGCCAAGGTAGCCAAGCAGAGGCTCCTGAGGCTACCCTGGAGGGTGAGCTAGAGGGAGAGGTGACGGGGCTGGGGGAATCAGCAGGGGCAGAAGGAATCTGTGAGGTGGATGACTTTCCCTCGGGCTCACAGGCGCTGAGGGCAGAGGACCTCCCAGGAGGGCAGGGACTGTGGGAAGGAGAGGCTGGGGGATGGCGAGCAAGGGAGCAGGGGCAGAGCGGTGAGGGGCAGCGTGGGAACCAGCACCCCGAGGAGGGAAAAGCACAAAGGCCCCTTGACGTGGAGGATGCCGGGGTGACCGGAGGCCAAAAGGCAGAGGCCGCGGAGACTGATCCAGACGGCCTGGAGGATGTCCAAGGCCTGGAGGATGTCCAAGCCCTGGAAGACCAGTCGACCAATGAGGGCCCTGCGGAGGCTGAACCGGGACCACGAGGGGAGGCTGACGGGAGCGCTGGACAGGATGCTGATGGCAAGTGGGGTGAGGTGAGCGCTCTGGGTAGGGTCCAGGGCAGGATGGAGCAAAATCCCAAAGCTGTAGCCGGCCCCGTGGTACCCTGTGCCCTCTTCCCTATAGGCCCTGCTCCCGGGGTCCCGCCTGGACGTCTCTGTCTCGAGGAGCCGGGTATTCCTGTCCCGCAGCTCCTCGCAGCGCCGCTCCCGGCCCTCTTTCCGTCGGACCCCGGGCCCTGAGCCACCCGAGGAGCCTCCCAGCCCCCCACCTGAGGAGGAGCCATCAGCCCCAGAGCGGAGAATCCAGCCAGAGCAGCCGCCGGAGCCAAGGCCCGCCAGGCCTGAAGGGACTCCACTGCCGGCCAGGAGAAGTCCCTTGGGACAGGGGTGAGCACAGGGTGGGGTGACCCGGTCAGCCTGGGGAAGAGGCTGACAGCACCTGGAGGCCAGCTCCCCACGGCCTGTCTTCCATCTGCAGGTTTGGCCTGGCACACCCAGGCATGATGCAGGAACTGCGAGCCCGGCTGGGCCAGCCAAAGCCCCAGTGACGGGATTCGAGGCCCCGGGAGCCAGGCGCCGAGCAAGGCTTGCTGGGACGGCTGGGTTGAACCCAGCTCAGCCTGACTTCCTCTGCTGCTTTGGACGTGTCCTTTTCACCGACCCCCACTACCCACCCCCGCCGGACCTGAGTTGCTGCATGTGTCGTCCGGGAGCAGACAGAACCAGATGCCAGCGAGAACCATGAACTTAAGGAGTCTACCTCTCCATTGTGGCTGATGGACCCCTGCCCTGCTGGGGTTGCCTCTCTCTGAGGACCTGCCTTGCCTGCCTCATAAATCTGTCTCAGCTGCTCGGAAAACCGAGTGAAGACAGAGACAGTTCTCCCCACGGCCTTCCCTCTCGGACGGCACCCACTCTCTGCTCTCCCTAACCCTGTCCCTGACTAGGCCCTCGGTGCTGTGGAGGAGGAACGCGATCCTCTGAGGTTGAAGCCAGCCTGGAGGAAAGAGTCAGGAGGGGCTGTGGAGCTCCATTTGCAATCAAAGGGAAGCAAGCCGGTTGCCTGGAACTTCCAGAATGGGAGCTGAGTCCGGGAACTCTGTTGGTTACTATGGCAACCACCAGCTGAACAAACCAGAGTGGGAAAAGGTGGGCCAGAAACCCCCAAAATGGAGGAGCAGAGAGGAGTCCAGGGTGGCCAAAAGCTGCAGTCTCCGCGCCAGGGCCCCTCGGGGTGTCAGGCACCCCTTCTCTGGAAAGAAACCAAGGCAGAGAGAGGGTGGGAGTGCTTTATTAGACAGCATGGTGGCCTAGTCTGAGGATGACTAGCAGGCCCCCAAAACAATAAATAAACCTTCATTTTTCTAAACAATAAATAAATATCTAAGAAATAAATATCTGACAAAGACTGGAGGGGCCTTAAGTTATTGGGTAGGGTCTGGGATGGGGTCGTGCCTTGTCTAAGGCAAATGAGCTGGAGGCTGTCTGATGCCCCAGACTCCAGTCCTCAAGTCCTAATGGGTTCCGCTAAGAGGTCAGTCCATCAGGGCTGGGAGCTGGGCGTGGGGAACCCCAAGGCCTGGACTGAGTTCCCGGCCCGGGAGAGCAGCAGCAAGTCCCGCACGGTCCGAGACAAGACAAGTTCCAAGGAGTGTAGCAATCGGTAGGTGTAGAGGAACTGGGACCAGGATACCTGGGCAGATATCTGTAAGGGGGCGCCCAGAGCCCCTGGGAGCAGTCCTTTTTCCTCCTCATTCTCATGCTCTTCAGGAAGGTTGAATCCTGCAGCCAGCACCTGCAAGGAGAGGAGCAGGGGGTCAGAGAATGGCCAGCCTGAGACCCCAAGTGAAACCTTGTCTCTTTCTGTGCCCTGTGGTGTAGAGTGACATCAGAGACCACAAGGTTCAGATTTCCCTGGACAACCCCTACTTCACATCTTCCATGATGTCATCATTTCATATGAACTGCCTGATTCATTTTTTGGTTCAAAAAAAAATTGGAAGTCACAAGGCAAAATGGTGCTCACAGAGCGGGCTGTCACTCACCCAGGATTTCCCTGGGGGTTGGGAGTTCTGGAAGGTCCTCTCTTTCCCTCTCTCTCTCTCTCTTTTTTTTCTTTAGGTTTCAATCCAGGGTTTGAAGGATGTTCCCCGACCAGGGATCGAACCTGGTCCCCAGGAGTGAAAGTCTGGAGTCCTAAGAGGCTTAGTAGGAGTCCCGCTAGTCCACCAGGGAACCAGAAGGTCCTCTCTCAAGGGTCATCTTAGGATCAGAAATGGGCATAAAAGTGATCTGGTTAGTTTTTATGATATCTTCCTTTTCTGTTCTCCTTTTACTAAGGATAAAATTCCTATTTCCCTTTGAAATGTTCAAGAAAATCTGGTGATGTCAGAGGATGAGAGAGAAGGGAACCCAATTGGCTGCAGGACGTGCTGATGCCAGGTGCTGTCCTGGCTTCTCTCATTTAAGACCAAGACCCCAAGAAAAGGCAGAGATTCAGGGGGCAGAGCCAGGGCCTCGTGCACCTACACACACACTGTCACACACACACACACAAACACAGAGCATCTCCTTCCAGACACCATATGTCTGGGCAGGGGGAGTGTTTTAAAAGGAAGCCAATGAAAAATTTAAAAATACACACAAAAAAAGGAGCCAGTGAGCCTTAGTTTTGTGTGTTGGTCTCTGGGGGTGGAGGAGGGTGGATGGACACTCTACCTGGAAGCGGAGATGCTGCTGCAAATCTCGGAGATCCAACCTCGTGACCTGCAGTTGCATCCTCTCTGAGCTGGTCCAGAACTCCTGTCTCCCCAGCCCTCCCAACAGGGTACAGAAGGGACGAAGTGTCAGAGAGAGGAAGCAGAGTCGTTCTGGGTCCTGTGGCAGGGGAGGGAAGGCATCAGGAAAGGCCTGCAGGCCAAGGATCCACTTTCAACCCACCTCATCTCTCTGGGTCCCATCCCCAACACAACTCCAGTCTCCATTCCATCACCAAATCTATTCTTGGTAGAACTCTTTTTTTGGCCACACCACGCATGAGGGATCTTAGTTCTCCAACGAGGCAGTGAACCTACACCCCCTGCAGTAGAAGCATGGAGTCGTAACCACTGAACCACCAGGGAAGTCCCTCCATGGCTATTCACATCCTTAACCCCATCTCTATCCATACTTCTTTCTTGTGCTCATCACCATTCCTATCTCCATGGTCTCTGATCTCTATCCTATCTCCTTTCCCAACCTCATTTTCAGTCTTACGCCCAAACTCATCTCTAACCCTAACCGCATCTCCATCCTCCTATCACTCTCTATCCACAACCCCATTCCATTCCTTCTCTACCATCCCATCCCAGCTCCATCTTCTCACTTGTTTTTATTCTGTCTCCAACTTCTTTTCTATCCTTATTCCCATCCTTATCCCAGTGCTGTCCCTCTTCCATGTGTCCAGCCTCACTGTCACCGTGTCTCCATCCCATCTCCAACTGTACCCACCCCCATTCCATTCCCATCTTCACAAGCAATCCTATTTCTCTGGCCCCCACTTCATTTCCACTCATCTCCAGCCTCTTCCCCCATTCCTAACCTCTCACCATTCTCTCTCCTCATACCAACTGCATGCCTCCTCCCTACTAATCTCTATCCCCAATCCCATTCTATTCCCATCCCGGCCTCTGTCCTTGCTCAGCTTCATTCTTAACCTTCTTTCTAATGCCATTTCTTTATTCCAGCCTCATCTTTATACTCAGTGACCTACCCAGCCTCATCCAGATGCTCTCCTTCAATTTATCCCCAAATCCATCTTCAATTCAGTGGACTTGATCTCCATGGACCCAGACCAGCCTCATTGCCAGTTCGCCTGCCCCACCCTGCCAGCCCCCCACTCACAGATAGGCCACGCCAGGCCCGGAAGGTCGTGGAAACGTTGGGGAGCTGCTCGCCCAGAGGCAGGAGGTCGAGGTTCACTCCTGGCAGGTGAGATTCAGCCTATGGGACAAGGTCTATAAGTGGGGGCCCAAGGGGATTGGGGATCTTCCCATCCCCAGAGCCAACTGCATTAGGGAAACTCACAAAGTGATGAGCCTGGAACTGAACTGCGGAGAGCAGCTTCCTGGCGAGATGCAGGCTGACCTTGAACTCCCTCTGCAACTCCTGCAGGCTCAGGGGGTGCCTCCCCGGGGGCCTCGGGAATCCCCAGACACCAGCTCGAGCCAGAAGCAAGAAGAGCAGCAAAAGGCTGAGCCCTGGAGAGATGGGGGAGGGGAGTGAACAAGATGAGGGGTGAGCTTGAGGAGAACTTGGGTGAAGGAAGAAAGGGACCGTGCCTTTTCTGAGTCTGTGCTACAGGCACGTGCTATGTGTCATCCCACTGACTCCTCAAAACCACTAATGAGCTATTGAGACACCATATGGCATCTCTTGTGGGCTTCCCAGGTGGCGCAAGTGGTAAAGAACCGCCTGCAATGCAGGAGACATAAGAGACTCACGTTCGATCCCTGGGTCAGGAAGAACCCCTGGAGGAGGGCATGGCAACCCACTCCAGTATTCTTGCCTGGAGAATCCCATGAAGAGAGGAGCCTGGTGGGCTACAGCCCATAGAGTCGCACAGAGTCGGACACGACTGAAGCGACTTGGCACGCATGCACGCACGCCTGCATCTCTGACAATGAAAGGAAAATGCCCCTTCCCCAGGTACACACAGCCTGGCACAGAGTGCCCACTTTTGAAGCAAATCTCGGGCTGCATCTTGATCACCACTAATTCCCTTGGCCAAATGCCTTCCTCAGTGCACAAACTGCACAAGGGGGTGAGGAAATCTGGGTGCTATCATTTTCCCTATTTTGCAGATGGGGAAAATGAGGCTCAGGGAGGGTGACTTGCCAGAGGGTGAGCAGACCAGGACTGGCGTCCAGATTGGCCCAAATGCAGAGCCTGAGTGCTTCCCCCAGTGACCTCAGGGGAAGGCCACCACCTCCACCGCAGTGGGCACAGTCTATTCTGCCAATGATTCCCCGGGCTTAGCCAGGTGGCTTGGATGGCCTGAACCAGAACCCCAGGGGAGGTCTGGTGATGCTGAAGGCTCTATCCCAGGGAGTCAGAAGGACAGATGGGTCCAGCCTCCCCCAAGGCAGGTAGATCACTCTGCAGTGTGGGAGAAACAGGGCTCCCAGGAGAGGGAGGAGGGCCTGGAACGGGAGGCAGCAGCCCTGTCTCTCTATTGGGTTCTTCCCTTGAGCAAGCCACCTCTGATCTCTGTGCCTTGGGCTCCCATCTGTAAAATGGAGGATCAGATGGGCTGATCTCTGAAAATGCCTCCTGCCCTGCATTTCCTGGAAAGAAGGAAGAGGGGCAGTGGGGCTGGAGCTCTGGGAAGAGGGCAGTTTCTTCTTCGGGGAGAGGAAATCTAGCAATCCCTAGGCAGTTGCACAACTCTCCTTGAAACCCAAACCAAAACTGCTTACTAAGTCGAAGTTTATTCTTGACTCCCTCTTCTCTCCCTGCTTCTTTCCTATCTGTTCTCTATCTCCAAACCCTGAGCTCTGCTCCTTGTAATGTCCTCTCAATAAAGACTAAGAGGAAATTCTGGGTGCTTCCGCTACCCCCATGGACTTCCAGAGATGGTGGGTCTTGTCTCTAATCTCCAGCATTCAGGTTCCGTGGCTTGGGGGCCACTCTGACACTCTGAAGACTTAAGACAGAGTGAGGTCCTTTCTAGTTCCATATATTGCCCACCCAGAACCGAGCTGTGCCGTTTCCTGCTGACCCCCTGCTTTCTGCTTGGACTCTGGAGCCCCCAGACCTTTCCCTTGGCTTCTCCTTCCCCCTGCAGCCAATCCTGGGGTTTTGGACCTGGTCTTTGAGGGTTCTGTCCCCATCTTCCAGCCCTTGGTCCCTACCCTGATCCTCCCATCTGCTCCTCTGCCTATAGCTCTGGTTCCAACCTCTGAGTCCTTCAGTCACCCACTGTAGCTTGAACCTCCTTCCAAGCTTCAAACTCCACACCCTTGACCCAGTAAGGCTGCTAACTCCTTGGCCCCAGTCCCCTGCTCCTTCTGTCCTTCCCCTAGCCAGCCCCAGTTCTCACTCAAGCTGACTGAGCAGGGGCTCATTCATCCCAAATAAATGCTTAGTTTATCTGCCTGGCCTTGATCCTGGTCAAACTGCCTGCCCAGTTTTCCCCATTCATGCCAGTCAGGTCTTCCCATCCTCAGCCCAGCTCTCACCAAATTTCCTCCCTTCTACTCCTGTCTCCTCATTCATGCCAGCCAACCTGCCCCACCCTCTGCCCAGCCCTAGCCTCTGCCCCAGCCTTTCTCCCCAAGTTATGCCTATCTCATTCCCATCTTTTATCCAGCTGTGTCCTGTATCCGTGTGTGTGTGTGTGTGTGTGTGTTACTTGCTCAGCCTCTTTCCTTAGTCTTGGCCACATAGTAGCCTCTCAGCCCTTGGCCCCTATCCACAGTGGTCAAGTTCACCCATCCTCTGCCCAGTCTCAGCCAAGCCCCTACCCCTCTGCCCCAAGCCCTGGCCTCAAACTCACGCCAGCCAAGGTCGCCTGCCGTCTGGCCCATGGCGGGGCCCAGCCTCCTTGGACAGCCATCTCCCGGGCAGGGGGAGTCTTATACTGGGGGCTGCGCCCAGTTTCACTTTCCGTCCTGCTTCTACTTTCGGCTTTGTGTTCACCGAGTCTTCCCTCATCACCACCCCTTGCTAAAATGGGGAAATGTAATTTCCCTTCCCAGAGAGGGTGGGAGGTGCAGTGGGGGTGGCGGGAAGCTGGGGTTTCGGTCAATCTCAGCTCCTGACTCCCTGCTGCACTCTACAGTCCAGCCATCCCCTTACTTCCCCACCCTTGGGTGAGCCGCCCCACTCTGCTTGCTGGTAGGTCCCAGGGACTCCAGCCCCCCCTCCTGTTTCTCTTCTTTGTCGCCATCATCCCAGTGCCATCACCAGTCCATTGTCCTTCTAAAGACGGATGGCCAGGTAAGGGGATTGCCCATTAGAGGGGACTTGGGGTTTTGAGTCATCCTTATGCTCTGCTGGTTTACCAGATGGCTGAGGGAGGGAGTGCCAGGGAAGTCAGGGCTCAGTGGGTGGGTGGGATGAGGCTGTGTGTGAGGTGGTAGGGTCTCAGTCTGGGCAGGCTCAAGGGTTCAGTCTGTAGTCAGGATCAGGGCAGGATGCGAATAGGTTCATTCAGGGCCAAGCTCAGGCTTCAGCCAGGATCAGATCTCGGATTAGCACTCAGGACTCAGTCTAGGGCCAGACTCTGAACTTCATCTGGGGTCAATGCCCTGGCTCTGCCCTGGCTCTGTGTTTGGGGTCAGAGCTATCAATGACATGGGGGCCCTGTGTGGAACCAGTTAGGGTTGGGCTCAGAGCTCAGACCAGACGGGGCACAAACTTCAGTCTGCGGCCAACATCCTGACCGCTTGGGTAACTCTGGTCAGGGCTCAGGCTTGGGCTGGGTTAAGAGCTCAGTGGATGAGCAGAATCAGGGCTCAGCCCATGGCCAGGTTGGGTTCTGTGAGGTCAGGATCAGGGCTCGGCCAGGTCCCCGAATTGCTCTGGTGTTTCTGCTCTGTAGACGGCTGTCAGGCCTGGCTATAGATCTCCCTTCCAGCGCTGCCCCGCCCTCAGCCCCACCCTGGATTTCCCATCTTCAAGGAGAAGATGGGGTTTCTTGGTCTTCCCCCAAGCCCACTGCTGCCACTTTCCTTTTAGGACCCATGGGGTTTCCCTGCTGGCCCCCGGCTGTGTTACAGAAACCAAAGGGGCTTCCCCTTCCTATACCCTGCCTCCCCAGCCGTGCCCATGCACAGGGCCACCAGGGACCAACTCCCAGGGAAGTGTCAGCACCTGCCAAGGAACCATGCAGAAGGCCACTGGAGGAGAAGGAAAAAGAAGGGTGGCTCGCACCTGCTCAGCCAGGACCAGTTTCCTTTGCAGCGCCCCCCAGTGGTGGCAGCCCATTCCCCCACATCCCAGGCAACTGATGCTCCTCCCTGTTGGGTCCCATCCATCCTGAGACTGATGCTGACAAGGCCCTGGCTGGTTTTCCTCACATCCCCGAGCCCTGCCATTGTCCTGGAGGCATGGACACTCCGCCCTCTCCCCAACCACAGCCACTCCTGACTCTTTGCCATCACCCAGAGCTGCTTTACCCTTCAAACCTTGAACCCCATCTTCCACTCTCTGACTACAATCTCCTGAGCTTCCCAACCTTCTCAGTGTTCCTTGGGACCTCCCGGCCCTTGCTGCTTCTCAATCTGGCTGCGGTTGACTCCTCCAGCCTCACACCTCCCTCCAGCCCTCTTCTTGCTCCACCAGTTGCTTCTTTGCCTTTGCACAGGCTGGTCTCTCAGCCTAGAATGCCCTCACTGCCTTCTCTGAAGGTCCCTTTCCCCAACCTTTTCTGTACCCAGACCCCTAGGCATGGGCTTTCTTCCCTGAATGGCTCATCCCTTCCTGCCATAAATCTTGTCTCCAGTGGACATCTCACATTTCTTTATCTTGCCCACTCTATTTTCACTCATACCTTTCTAGCCATACTGGCCTCCTCCTGGCTCTTAGAACATCCTGCTTCAGGACCTTTGCACTTGCTGTTCTGCTTCATGTGTGCAAAGCTCACTTTCTCCTTACTACTGTGCTCAAATGTCTCTTTCACAAATAGGATCTTCACTGACTACCCTGATAAAAGGTGAGCCTGCCCCTGGAATTCTCTAGTCCCTTCCCTGTACTACTTTTCTGCATAGTACTTTAGATATCAAATATTTTTAGATATTGAACATTTTCTCTCCCTCTCTCTCTTTTTTTTTTTTTTTTGCTCTGTCTCCAGGCACTAGAATATGGGTTCCACAAGGATGGGAATTTTTGCCTGTTTTATGCACTGATGCATAACAGTAGTTAACAAGAGCAGGTTCTCAATAAATCATTGAACCAATCTGTCTTCTGCCAACAAGTGTCTAAACCAGGTTTTGCTTATGGCTGGTGAGCTGTAAACTGCCAGGATGAAACAGAAGGCTTGGGATCAGCAAAGCCCTGAGGTCTCACAGCTAGCTTTCTCCCAGTCTGGCCAAGGCTTCAGCCAGGTGCTGAGCGGGTAAAGTGGCACCTGGGCTGCTGGGTACTGGCCCTGGAAGAGATCTTAGCAGATCCTTGACAAAAAGCCAGAGGGCCAGTGAAGGCCATGACAGCCTCTGCCCACATCGTTGAAGGATGGGCCTGCATCTACCCATCTGGGCCTCAGCTTTCACAAGTGGATCTTGGCTGGTGGGCTGAGGCTTGGACTGGGGCCAGAAGGAAATGGAAGGGATGTGGTGAGGGGTAACAACTGCTGGAAAGAGCTCTAGACTCTGGTGTGCAGCTAACCCTCCTGGTGACCTCAGGTGAGTCACTAGCCTGCTCTGGACCTCAGTTTCCTCATTGAAAAGTGATAACAATTTTCAAATGCTGCCACTGTGATTACATAGAGAAATTAAAACCCAGATGATTAAAAAACAGAGAGAGAGAAAGGAACCATCTGCCAATTTTTCTGATTATTTTCCAAGCCCTGTTACAGCTCTGACCATGTGGGGCACTCCATGGGGTTGCAAGGGAATCCTGAGTTCAGGAAGCAGAAGTTAGAAGCCTCAGATGTGACATCAGGACAGAATCAGGGCGGGGAAGTCTTGTTCAAGGTTACAGAGCAGATCAGTGGCAGAATGAAGACTGGAACTCAAGTCCTTCATTTTCATCCTGGGCTGGCCAGGGGAATCCCTGGGCCCCATGATGTCAGCTTCAAGGTTTGGAACTAACCCCTTGGTGAAACCAAGATGGGCTTTAGTGAAGTCAGGAAGACTGAGGGGGGAGGTGAGGCCAGGTTGGAGCTGGAGTCACACTGCTATCTCCAAAACACAAGTGATAAGACCCTAAGGTTAGGCACAGTGCCCATCAGCTCTCGCGAGAGGAGAGGTGAATTAAGTCCTACACCCCAGACGTGATCATTGCACTCCTTGTACGCATGCGCCTGGCTCCTCGCCACATGTATGGTTTCCTCTGCAGTGTCTCAGGGGTAAAAGAACTTGCCTGCCAATGCAGGAGACGCAGGGGATGTGGGTTCAATCCATGGGTTGGGAAGATCCCCTGGAGGACGAAATGACAACCCATTCCAGTAGTCTTAACAGGATAATCCCATAGACAGAGGAGCCTGGTGGGCTACAGTCCTTGGGGTTGCAAAGAGCTGGACCCCACTGGAGTCCCAGCGTCCTGCCCCGTGCTCAAGGCAGCAGTGAGGCAGCTTGGGTGCCACGCCCCCTGCCACCCACCTTGGGTGCATCTCTTATGGGACAACCAACCCTGGGGGTGAGGCAGGGGAAGTCTAGCAAGAAAAAAAGGCTTCTCACCCTCAGCCCGTCCTCTTTTTTTCTCCCGTAGGGGGGCACTCTCTAGGTCATGTCAGGTATGTGGGGAGAGCTGAGGGGAAGGGGGTGCAGGGATCACCTTGCCATCCACAAGACGTTCATCGCTGGACATTCTATGAAAATGACATATGAATACAGGGGCAGGAAGAGTGAGCTTCACGGAATGTGAGAAGGTGGGAAAGCCAGCTTTGTTGAGTGCCAGGAAGGAAGAGTCTGAAGGCCAGGAGTCAGGGCTACAGAGAAAAAACACCAGCCTGGGGGTGAAAAGTCCCAACGCAAGTCCCCGCTCCACTCTGCCCAAATATGCTGGGCTTCAGTTTCCCCATCGGGAACATGAGGCCCGCCATCCCAGCCCTGCCCACCTCTCAGCTCAAACGAGAAGGCAAAATTAGGAAGGTAGAGGGTTTCAAGGCTCAGGACTCTAGTTGGGAGTCAGACAGACCTTTTGCAGCTCCAAGAGTTTCCAGGGTGACCTTGGACAAGGCAGGAAACATCCCTGTGCCTGGTTTCTCTACCAAGTGGGGACGCCACTCCTGCCAGCCAGCTGGGACAGCAGTGACGATTATACACATAAATGCCTGGCACTGCCGCTGAGTAGCCGTGTGATCTTAAAGCAAGTTATGTAACCTCTCTGTGCCTAGCTTCATCATCTCTAACGTGAGGAAAGGGGACTTCGCTGGTGGTCCAGTGGTTAAGAATCTGCCCTCCAATGCAGGGGACATGGGTTCGATTCCTGCTCAGGAAACTGAGATCCCACACGTCTCGGGGCGACTAGAGAGGCGCGAATTCCACTGCTACTGAGCCACAAGCTCTAGAGCCTCTGCTCCCTAAGAGAAGCCCGCCCACTGCCGGGAGAAGCCCTTGCACAGCAGCAAGAAAAAGCCACGTGGCAACTAGAAATAGCCCGCGCCACAACAAAGACCCAGCTCGGCCCAAAGGAAAACAAAATGAAGAAAGTAATCCAAACTCATAAGATTATTTTAGAGGATTCAATGAGCCATTGTTTGTAAAGTGCTTAGAACGGGGATCGACACGCAGTAAAGCTGTCGGTTTAGCTCTTAGTAGTAGTATAAGGCCTGCTCCACAAGCTCCTAGGAAATGCTAGTTGTCATTAAAAAATACTCTGGGATGGTTGTTATCAATGGGCAAAGAAAGGCTAAAGGAGAGTTGGAAGAAGAGAGTAAGGAAGAGGGCTTCCCTGGTAGCTCAGTGGTTAAGGAATTCGCCTGCCAGTGCAGGAGACATAGGTTCAATCCCTGGTCTGGGCAGATCCTACATGCCTTGGAGCAGCTGAACCTGTGCACCACAGCTGCCGAGCCCGTGCTCCAGAGCCCGGGAACTGCAACTATTGAGCCCGCCTGCCGCACCTACTGAAGCTCAGGCGCCTAGAGTCCGTGCTCCACAACTAGAGGAGCCACTGCAACCAGAAGCCTGCACACCGCAGCCAAGAGTAGTCTCTGCTTGCTGCAACTAGAGAAACGCCTGTACAGTAACGGAGACCCAGCACACAGCCAAACATAAATAAATAAGAGTAAATATGTAAAAAATGAGAGAGCCAGTAAAGAAGGAACAGAAGAGGCTGCAGTTGGAGCTTGGGAAGTTCAGACAGGTTTGGAGTGCAAATGGGGGTCCCCAGGCCAAAGGAGTCCGGTAACCAGAGACGTGCCTCTCTGGAGCACAGTCTGGGCTGAAGCAGAGGTCTCTGGGAGACAGCCAGCCAAGCAGGCTCTGGGCCACAGCGTGGACAGCCTTGTATCTGAGCATCAGTGGTTGGGACTCACTTCCTAGCTTGGGTGAGATTTCATCAAGCCTCCCTATGGAGAAAACTTGGAGTGAAGACTGACTCTGGGCTGAGCCCTGGGCCAGGCCCTGCTAGGTGTCTGAGAGAGACAGCGGGCCCTGGGCCGACATCAGGTCCTCCAGCAGCCCTACCCTCTGAGGCCGACCCTGGGCCCCATGCCAACCCCGGACCCCTCACCTGGCAGTTGCCATGAGGTCTCTACCACCCCTGACTGCTCTGTCTGTTACTTAATCTTGAACACTGCACGTGGAGCCCCTTGGTGAGTGGGCAGTTCACTTCCCAGAAACGGGACACTCTCACAGTTTATAAATTATATATAGATATGTATTAATTTATTTTTGGCTGCACTGGGCCTTTGTTGCTGCACTCAGGCTTTCTCTGGTTGTGGCGAGCAGGGGTTACTCTTTAGTTGAGACGTGAGAGCTTCTCATTGCGGTGGTTTCTCTTGTCTCGAAGCACACGCTTTAGGCATGGGCGCTCAGTGGTTGTGGCACATGAGCTTAGTTGCCCCACAGCATGTGGGACCTTCCCAGGCTGGGGATAGAACCTGTGTTCCCTGCATTAGCAGGTGGATTCTCAATCACTGGACTACCAGGGAAGCACCTAATCAAGACTATGTCTGATGCATTGCTTCGTGACTATTACAGAAATTGTGCACCTACTTAGTGCCAGGTACCAGCTCTGAAGCAGAGGAACCAGAGGACCCTGATGCTAAGGCGCAGGTGTTTGAGGCCCTAGAATGCCACTCCCAAGCAGAGTGTTAACCACTGGATCACAGTGGAAATCCCACACCAGGGTTCAGTAGTTGTGGCTCCCAGGCTTTGGAGCACAGGTTCAAAAGTTGTGGCACATGGGCTTAGCTGCTCTGAGGCATGTGAGATTTTGCTGAATCAGAGATCAAACCTGTGTCTCCTGCATTGGAAGTCAGATTCTCTACCACTGAGGTACCAGGGAAGACCCAAGTTATTTTAAATTGCACAGATATGAAAGTGTTAGTTGGTCAGTCGTGTCTGACTCTTTGCGGCGACCCCTTGGACTGTAGCCCGCCAGGCTCCTCTCTCCATGGAATTCTCCAGGCAGGAATACTGGAATGGTTAACCATTCCCTTCTGCAGGGGATCTTACTGACCCAGGGATCAAACCTGGGTCTCCTGCATTGCAGGTGAATTCTTCACTGTCTGAGCCACCAGAGACAAGCCACACTAAAATTCATGGTTTTTTCCTCTTCTTTGTCTGCCCCTCACTACAAGTTCCAAAAGGAAAAAGCTCGTTGACCACTGTATCTGTAGCTTATAGAATATTCCCTGGCTCAGGAAATACCTGCTGAAGGAATAAATAATTCTTTCCTTAAGCAGTTAACAACTCTCCCAACTGTTCCCCAAAAGAGAGAGAACAGGGTGAGGCTGCACGGAGCTGGTGCGAACATTTCACAAAGTACTTAATTTTATATCTCCAGTGTTCTGCTAAAGTTGGAAAGAATGTGTTCAGTCAAGAGGACAGAACAAGAGGTGAGGGGTCATCTTCTGATTCCACAGCGCGGGTGTGTGCTAAGTCAGGGCTTAGTCATGTCCGACTCTTTGCGACCCCTTGGACTGTAGCCCGCTAGGCTCCTCCATCCATGGGCTTCTCCAGGCAAGAAAACTGGCGTGGGTTGCTGTGCCCTCCTCCAGGGGATCTTCCCCACCCAGGGATCAAATCCATGTCTCCCGGTCTCCTGCATTAACAGGCAGTTTCTTTACCATAGCGCCTCCACAGCATGAGCCGCTTTTGTTTTCAGAGAAGCAAAAAGAACCTTGTTTTACAAAGAAAAGAAAGTGCTTCTGGTTGGCAGAGACCCGGATTCCTGGTGCAGCCTCTGGGGAGCAGTCTCCTCTGTCCAGGCTGGCTGCTTGCACAGGGTCTCGGGGAAGTGAGGTGCTCTTGCTTCTTAGCTTGCTTCCCCTGGACTCCCTGAAGACCACAGAACTCTCTAGAAAGCTTGGGTGTGGTTGTTAGCACACCTGGTCTCCTCCTGGCTCAGCCCGTGACAGTTGGTGAACCCATGACCCAGGTCTTTTCCTTCCCACAGGGCTTTGGTAAATATTCAGTATGATAATAAAAGCCACTGCGATGGTAGATATTTTTTTTTTTACAAGCCCAGGTGGAGTTTTCTTCCTCTTCTTTTTATGCTCATCCCATCACTGTTTAATCAGTGTGGACTTTCATGGCTACAGGGAAGGGATGTCATTGAAGTTTCCTTTTTACTTCAACAGCCTTAGGGGACTCCTGGTGGAACCCTGGAGGCTCAGATGGTAAAGAATCTGCCTGCAATGCAGGAGACTGAGGTTTGATCCCTGGATTGGGAAGATCCCCTGGAGAAGAGAATGACAATCCACTCTTTGTCCCTGGAGAATCCCACGGACAGAGGAGCCTTGTGGGCTGCAGTCCATGGGGTCGCAACGAGTCAGACACGACTGAGCAACTAACATAGGGGACTCAAGGCACAGAAAATCATGAGGACACAAGAGCAGGGTGGATGGAGTGGGGAGTGGGCAAATTTTAAAATACTCCCCTGGTGGTCCAGTGATTAAGAACCCACCTTCCAATGCAGGGGATACGGGTTCGATCCCTGGTTGGGGAACTAAGATCTGCTATGCCATGGGGCAACTAAGCCCACGTGCTAGAGAACCCTGTGTGCCACGGTGAAGACCCAGCACAGCCAAAAATAAAATAAAATACTCCCCAAGTTAAGGAAGAAGGAGGCAATTTGGAAAGGACAGAGGGAGATCTTAGAGCAGACCTGTCCTTGAGAAGGGATTCCTCTGACCTGACTGTTCTGAAGAGTTTGGTGAGATCTGAGGTACGGAAGGAACTGTACCCGTTTTCCAGGTGGACAGACCCCAGCAGTGCCCCTGCACCCCAGTGTGGCACAAAGGCTGCGGGAGGTGGCCCAGAGAACACAGACAAGAGCAGGTGCTGTGCGGCTGATGCTACAAAACAGACAGAAAGGACAGGAAGGCAGAGGGGGGACGTCTTGGCAGATTCCAATGTACTCAAGGCCAAGAGGATTCATGCCGCTTCTCAACTCTGCTCCTGGGGTGCCCTGGGAAAAGAAGTGGAAAAAATGGCAAACTGACCCCTTCAAACACCTGCCGCCGGCAGAAAAGGAACAGGAAATATCGATTCAGTTAAACAACAGACAGATCTCATTTCTTGCACACCTGAGTTCTGTTGGCTGTACCCTTGTTTTAATAGCTCACTCACATGATGTTTACTATGTATTTTACATTAATCCAGTCACAGCCATAATGCTGTGTTGAATGTTATCAGCACTCTTACTTCCCATATGGGGAAATGGAGGCAGAGAAAGGTCAAATAACTGGACCAACGTCAGACAGAGATGGTGAGAAAGCTGGGACTTGAAGCCATGGGCCCAGAGCCCATGGTGTCAGCTGTCATTCTGCTACCTTCTTAGGATCTTTTTTGGGTACCCTGTAAAGTGCTTGAAAAACAGTTTCCTTGCATCCTCAAACCATCTCAGGAGGTGCGTGTTCCCTGGGTGGTCCAGTGGTTAGGACTCTGTGCTTTCACTGCTTTTGTTGCCCGGGGCCAGTGTTCAGTTCCTGGTCAGGAAACTAAGGCCCCTCAAGCAGCAAAAGAAAAAACAACAATAAAAGCACCATTCTGGTGACTTCCTGGTGATCCAGTGGTTAAGACTCCATGCTTCCACTGCAGGGGCCACAGGTTCCATCCCTAGTCGGGGAACTAGGATCCCAAAACCCTCAAGGCTTGGCCAAAAATCAATCAGTCAAACAAGCAAAAAAACACCCCACACCATTCTGGGAGGTGAATGTTTGCAGTCGAGGAAATTAAGATACAGGGTAAATAATAACTTGTCCCAGGTCACAGTGAAGTTTGCAGGCAGGATCTGGAATGGATCTGGGGAAACTCTAAGTAAGGCTGGCCTAACAACAGCATAATAATGGTATGAAACCAAACATAATGGTATGAAACAGCTATTTGGTTATGTACCTAGATATTCTGCAGATCAGGAGTTGGAGGTGGCTTGTCTCTACTGCACAATATCTCGGGCCTCGTCTGAGAAGATTCAGTTGCTGAAGATGACCCTACCCTCTATAGGCTCCCTTCACTCACATGTCTGGAGGCTGGAGATGGCTTTCAGCTGGGACTTCCGCCGCACCAGAGGTCAGACCACCAATAACACGTGACCTTTTCTATATTGACTTTCAGGTGGGCTATCTTGAACTTCCTCACAACAGGGTGGCTGGGGTCCAAGAACCGCCAACAACAAGGTACAAGCGCTTGGTGTTTCAGGAAATACCACTTCCGCCACGGTCTAGCAGTCATGGGAGTTGCAGAGGTCCTCGCGTGTTCGGAAGGAAAAGAGTCCCATATCCCCCAGTTGATGGAGGGAGCGTCAAGGCCGCACTGTCAGGAGAGCTTGTGGGGTGGGATCTTGCTGTGATCATCTTTGGTAAATACAGTTCTCAAACTTCACTGCACGTTTGAATCACTTTTTTTTTAAATTGGGGTAGAGTTGCTTTACAATATTTTTTTAGTTTCTGCTGCACAACAAAGTGAATTGGCCCTACGTATACATATATCCCCTCCATCTTGAACCTCCCTTTCCACCCTCATCACACCCATCTAGGTCCTCACAGCATGGAGCTGAGCTCCCGGTGCCCTACAGCAGGTTCCCACTAGCTATGTTTTACACACAGCAGTGTATTTATGTCAATTCCAACCTCTCAGATCTTCCCACCTCCTCTTTCCCTCGACCGGCGTCCACACGTTCATTCTCTACATCTGCATATTTATTCTTGCCCTGCCAATAGGTTCATCTGCACCATTTTCCCAGATTCCACATATATGCATTAGTAGATCATATTTGTTTTTCTTTCTGACTCACTTTTCAAAGTCCCAGTGCCCAAGCTGCACTCCAGACGAATGAAATCAGAATCTCTGGGAGAGGGAGCCAGGAATCAGTATTTTCTTCAGTTTCTGGGTGATTACAATGAGGCCGTCTCCCATGTATGCAAAGTTCCTGGCACAGTGTCTAGTTTGTGAACAACTGATTTTTTTTCCCCCAAGTGTGGACACTTATGACTCAATACACAAAGTTGTCATAGGTAGTACACAGGTGCACTTAAAATTATGGTTAGGTATTTCTTTTTACAGTTATTTTCTAACTGTGACAAGTGATTTTGGGCTTCCATTTTTGAAACTTATATAGTTTCCTTCTAAATATATTTGAGTAAAAAAGTAAATAATGGTATAGCTTGAATGCCCATAAGGCAGAAATCATAAAACTGTGAAAGGTAAAGCTGGGAAAACCCTGAGAGAGTAAATCAATAACTGTATCTAGGACTAGGACTGTTATTATTATTAATAGTACCACTTTTAAAAAGTGCTAGTTGAGGGACTTCCCTGGCAGTCCAGTGATCAAGACTCCACATTCACTATGCAGAGGGTGACCAATCTTGGTCAGGAAATTAGATCTCCCATGCCTCAACTGAAAAAGATCCCACAAGCCACAACTAAGACTCAGCGTAGCCAAATAAATTTTTTAAATAATTAATTTTTAAAAAGTGGAACTTCCTGCAGATTCTTGTGTTGCCTGCCGGGAGTTCTTCTGCTCCTCTTTCATTGAATGAGGACCAACTTGAAACCCTGACTGGTGAATCTCTTGGACGCTGGTGCCCTATGAAGGGGCCAGGAATGAAGGAAATGCTTCAGTTCAGACCCTTTTGCTGGCATTCTGGCTTGTTTGATGGATGTGTGCTCTCATTGCACAAAATGTTCATGATTGTTCTAGGCATCCTGGGCACAGTACGCTAACAGAAGAAACTATTGAGCATGGGTCCCTCCGCAGGGTGAAAAAAGCCCCACAAATATTGTGGCCACAAATGTGCCTAATAGAGAATAGTTTGGATGGAGTGAGAGAAACCTTCCTCTCAAACGAATTATGGAAAAATTTGGTCTATTAACAGGGAATGCCTCTGAATCCTGAACACCTTTTCCTAAAAAAAAAAAAAAAGTGGAACTTCCTTGGTGGTCCAGGGGTTAGGAATCTGCCTGTCAATGCACCGGACACAGGTTCAATCCCTAGTCCAGGAAGATCTCACATGCTGCAGGGCAACTAAGAATAAGTACGGCAACTACCGAAGCCCCTGCACCCTAAAGCCTGTGCTCCGCTACAGGAGCCACCGCAATGAGAAGCCCACATGCCACAACTAAAGAAAGGCTGATCACAGCAACAAAGACCCAGTGCAATCAAAAATAAAAATTAAAAAAAACCCAAAAAACCACTTTTTTTAAAGTGCTCATTGAAAATCAACTTCGGGTGGTTCTGAATTTAAAAATTATATATATCTGAGTGCTGGCCTTTGAGAAAGGAGTGGACCGATGAGGACAGGCAAATAAAGATCCCCAGTGTCTTTCCAGATTCTCTGCAAGGAGCTGGGAATCCTTTGAAGTGTGGCAACCTACCTGGAAATTTCCATAAGCCCCTGAGGGAGAAAGAGAGGTCAATCAACTCTAATTCTCAGAAGAAACCCAAGAAACTGGGGAAACAGGTATTACGTACAAGCAGGAGAAGATGAAGATAGGAGTGGAGAGGAAGAGGGAGGTTCTGGAGGGTTCTTGTCCCGAATGGATCCTCAGTCCTCCTGTGTGTTTAAGCCATTCCCACCCTCCTGCACTACCCCCAGGCCTTGATTTTCCCTTCGACAAAGGGGAAAGAGTGGGGCTCCTTAACTGCACATCCTATAAGTCCAAGAATTATCTGGTTCCTGGAACCTCCCAAGCAGAGGCTGTGCCAGGGAAGGGTAGGACCAGGAGTGAGGGGTCATGTGTGGGGCCTCCTGGCAAGTGTGGATCAAAGGATCCATTACCCCGGGAGTGACCACACCCAGCTAGACACAACCCTTCCCAGCCTATTTTCTCCTTTGAAGCTGAAAGAAGACAGGATAGTCTCAGCAATTGACAGAGGAAGGAATCAGGTCCAGAGTAATTGACCAGAAATTAACTAGCATCTATGATTCCTCATGGTCAGTTCTTCTCAGGCATGTAGTCACAAAGAGAAAAACCTGGCTTTGAAAATCAGACAGACCTGATTTAAAAGTCCCAGCTTCTGCAGGTTGTGCCTGTGTGACTTTGATGAAGTGACTTAACTTCTCTTTTACAGAAACTTTGGTTTTCTGGTCTGTAAAATGGGATCAGTAATGCTCTACCTGGCTCCCAGGTGGCTCAGTGATAAAGAATCTGCCTGCCAATGCAGGAGATACAGGAGATGCAGGTTTGATCCCTGGGTCAGGAAAATCCCCTGGAGGAGGAAATGGCAACCCGCAACAGTAGTCCTGCCTGGAAAATCCCATGGACAGAGAAGCTTGGTAGGGTACGGTCCACAGGATTGCAAAGAGTTGAACATGTGTAAGCAACTGAGAACATAATACTATGCCTACTGAGTTATTGTGAGAATTAAATGGGACAGTACCTATAAAACATGTGTCACAAGAGCAGTATCCCAATACATGGGAGCTGTTGCTTTGCTTTTCTGAAGCTGACGCATCAGATCTATCCTAGGCAGAGACCTACTGCCTGCCTAGTGCTGCTCTTGCCATTTGACTCTTGAGTCCAAGAAATGACACTGACCCCAAGGTCTGGTTTCAATCCTACCAGGGTCCTGTTCGTCCCTCCTTGCAGGGCATACCTTCAACCAGGTCCTGGTAATATGGTAGGCATCCAATAAATATTAAATGAATGAATAAATAATCTGTCATGGAAAGAGGGGTTTGAAGGGAAATCTGAAGGAGCTAAATGTCAAAATGACTAAGATTCTGGGCACAGGCTTGCTTGCCTTGGAGGCAAGGAGTCAGGTGGTGAAGGGCAAATAGGAGAAGACTTTGAAGAGCTGAGACTTGCAGGATTAGTGAGAATAAAAGCATCTCAGACAGAAGGGACCAGAAAACAGAAGCTTGCTCAAGGGGCAGGTAGGAAAGTCAGATTTCAGCTCACATTAAGGGATAACTCTGGGGGCTTCCCTGGCAGTCCAGTAGTTGATTCTGTGCTTCCAATGCAGGGGGTGCTGGCTCCATCCCTAGTTGGGGACAAGGTTGGACTAAACACCTTTTTAAAAGGAATTTGGCTGCAGCACACAGGATCTTCAATCTTTATTACAGCACATGGGAACTTTAATTGTGGCAAGTGGGATCTAGTTCCACAACCAGAGGTTGAACCTGAGTCCCCTGCACTGGGAGTGCAGAGTCTTAGCCACTGGACCACCAGGAAAGATATCTTTTATTTTATTTTGAAAGATATCTTTTAAAGTCCTTCTCAGGTCAGAGATTCTAGGACAGTTATTAGGCAACTCAAGGGAGACTGATAGATAAAGGTTCTTAAAGGTTCAAGCTGGCCTTAATCTGCTGTGTATCTGTTTCTGCTCCAGCTGCTGCCTTATTCCTTTGTTCATATTCTTGGGTCCCTGAGAACAATTGATTCTGAATTTTTCAACCCAGGGTTTATATGCAATGGACAGGAGAAAAGGAAAACGGCTATGCTCAGGGCCAGACCGAGGGGTTTTCTCCATCCTGTAACCCTTGTTGCTTGCTAGTTTCTTCTAATATTCACTCTCTGGCTTCTTTTTTATTTATTTATTTGTGTCTTAGTTGCAGCATGTGGGATCTAGTTCCCTGATCAGGGATCGAACTCAAGCTGCCTTCATTAGGAGCGCAGTCTTAGCCACTGGACCACCAGAGAAGTCCCTCTCCTACTTGATAATAAAACTCTCCCCCAGTTTGGGCTAGTACGTGGCTAAGTAGTTATATACTACATGTCCCAACCTCTCCTGTAGTTGGATGTAGTCGTACGTTTAAATTCTGAGAAGATACAATGTGTTCTGCTTTTAGGTTATGGCCTTAAAAATAAAATTATTGTGGCCTCCACCAGTCCCTTTCCCACTCTATTTACATAAGCTGAATGCAGATGAAATGGCAGGTACTGGAACAGCTAGCTTGGAGTGCAGAGTGGTAGCCATGTTTGAAGAGTGGCTGAAAAATGAGCCCGAAGTAACTGAAATCCCTGACACGATGGAGCTGCCATTTTAACCCCAGAGTACCAACCCTTGGAACTGCTTTATGACACAGAGAGAACTTTCTATCCTGCTTTGAGTCTTCATGACAGCAGCCCGAGTCTCTTTCTTAATCAACATACCCTACCAGCTCCCAGCATGCCTCTTACTTACTCCACATTTTTTCTGGAAGTCTGGCTGTAAGACTGATAACACTGGGTAAGAATTTTCCTGCTCATCTGACTTTCCAGAGCACTGTCCTGGCGGCCCCCTTGGCAAAGGGACCTACCTCACACTTGAGGACAATAAGAATCCTTGAATTTGAGCCCTGAGTAACTTGAGGCAAGTCCCGAAATGTTTTAAATCCCACTTTTCGCCGTTCTGCAGGTGGCACCAATAAATAACATTCACTTCAAAAGGTGGTTTGATACGAAGACGACATAAACAACAGGTTTGTTGTTCCAAAAATGGAGAGGAGCTGAGGAGGGGGCTTGTTTCATGGGCAGCATCTCAAAGAAACAAGAGGAAATTCTTGTACCCCTCCTGAGAAACCACAGAAACAAATGCACCCAAACACATATATACCAAAAAAAAAAAAAAAATGCTCACCTCCACACCCATACAAAATTAGAAACACCCCTCCCAGACACATAGCCCAAAACAAACACTCACCAAAATGCTCTCATTGGTTCATGCAAATGCAGACACTTGCAGGCAGAAGTGTGCACCCAAAAAGCCACACAGAGAGCGAACGAAAACACACAACACACAGTCAGCAGCTGCTACACTTTGTTTATTGTCACCGTCACCCTGGGGAGCTCTGGTTTCTTCTTTTTGGGGGGAGGTACCTTCTTGATTCTGCCTCTGTCTATTCTCTGCCTCTTGCTCCCCATCTTGTCCTTTCTCTGGGGCTGGGGGTGCTTCTTCCGTGGCGCCCCAGGAGCCTCAGTCAGGTGGGGTTAAGTCCTGGGGCTTAGGTGTGGCAAGCAGGCCTGGATCTCACCCCCAGGGCTGGTTCCGCCTCAGTCCTATTTCCATTGTTGTGGGTGTCCGTCTTCTGGCCTCATCTGGGGGAAGGAAAGCAGCTGGTAAAAAATCCAGAGCCTGGGTTCTAGTTCTGCCTCTCCTGTTTACTTGCTCCGTGACTCCAGAGAAAGACCCTACCCTCTCTGGGCCTCAGTTTTCCTGTCTGTAAATCAAATGTTGCTCCACTTGCAAAGGGTCTGTTTCTCCCTTTGCTCTGGTCGCTAGGCAAGGCAAACAAGTGTCTCATTTTATTCTATGTTGAGACAACAATTCTTGGCTCCCTCCTCCCGGCCCAACCTCGCACATTCAGGTCTGTCCCGTCCAGGCAGAGGGACCTTTACAGTTGCTGGGGGCCCCTGACTCCTTACCTCCAGTCCTGTCTCAGGGCCGTGCCCCTCGCTTTTTCCGCTCCGTGTTCTGAAGCTTGGTCACCAGCTTCCTCTCGTGCCCACCAGGGCTGTGGCGGTTGGTGTTGATGGCGGCTTCTCTCTTGCTGCGACCTTTCCGGCCTCCCACTCCTGGGAAATGAGGCGAGAGTCCGTGGTGAGGTGGGCAGAGGTGTGAGGCTCAGGGGGTCCAGAGGGCAGGGGTGGAAAGAGCTTGGGTTAAAGTTGGGAGGCCAGGGATCGTCACCACACAGATTTAGGGCAGTCTTTGTCCCTCCTTCCGCATCTGTGGATTGAGGGACTTCCCCCCTTCCTCATGATCTCCAATATTCTAGAAGTGTGAGGTCCCAAGGCTGAGTAGGACAGTGCTCACTGGATGAGGGGTGAAGGGGAGGGGGTGACTCCAGGGGTCAAGGAGACAGGTTGGAGAAGGGTGATGGGTGGGCAGGAGCTCAAGGAGGGATCCTAGAGGGGGGAGGTGGGGTTCAGTCCGCTTGTGAGGGGGGACATTGGAGATGGAAGGACCAGGAAGGTGGTGGGGCCAGGCCTTACCCGGGTAAGAATGAGCCAGGCTGTAGAGGTCGTACTCATCTAGGATGGCATCTTCATCCTCTGGGCCTGGGGGCTGCCTGGACGGGCTGGCTGCTCTTGGGAAGGTGGCCATAATGTCTATCTGTCTGTCTCTGTCTGTCTGTCTCTCCCTCTCCCGTCTTCTAAAGTTTCGTTTGTGTCTAGTTTGCTGACACCTTCCAGTTCACTGGCCTCAACTTATAAAGCCACGTCTCCTCCTCAGCCCACAGTCTGGCTCCAGCCCCTCAGGCCCAGTCTGATGCAATCTGGCCTTTTCCCAGAACCCAGCCCAGTAAGGATCAGTCACGAGAGAGAGCGGGGCGGGCGGAGGGGTGGGGGGGTGGGGGGAGAAAGAGCTGGTCCTGTGAGTCCCAGCCCTCTTTGCCTCCTCTCTCACTGGGGCTCGCCCAGCTGGGTAGTTTTCCACGGAGGAGATCCCCGCCCCTCAGAGGGGAGGGGGTAAGAGACAGGGTTTGGGCATAAACAGTGTTTGTGGTCAAGGCCCACAGGGAACTGAGGGCCTCACCTGGCTGACTTGTTCCTTATCCATCTCCCGCCCTCTGCCCTTTGCCACATGCCCCTCCTGGGCTGGGGGTCATGGCCACACAGCTGAGCCCCACCCCACCCACTTCCGGCTCAGATTCAGGACCCTGGTGGCAGATCATGGAATAAAGAATGATCCAGGAGAGGGTACAACCCACCATGTGTTATGTCACTGATCCTCACACTGATCACGCTCAGCCCTCTTTTTTTTTTTTAAATATAAAAAACATCCTGGAAACCCCCCTTAACATCCTGAACTGGGAGTCCCTAGGTAATCTCCCTCTCCTGAGAGGGAGACTAGCAGAATGGTTAAGCCGATTCTGGAGCCAGATGCCTTGGATTTAAACCCGTGATCCACTACTTCCTGTATGACCCTGGACAAGTCACTTTACCTCTCTGAGCCTCTGTTTTCTCCTCTATAAACTGAGGGTGATAGTAACTGTATCTACCTCATAGAGTTGGCATTTGTGCCAAGTCACTTCAGTTGTGTCTGACTCTTTGCAACCCCATAAACTGTAGCCCACCAGGCTCCTCTGTCCAGGGGATTCTCCAGGCAAGAATACTGGAGGGAGTTGCCATGCCCTCCTCCAGGGGATCTTCCCGACCCAGGGATCGAACCCAAGCCTTCTGCATTGGGAGGTGGGTTCTTTAGGGCTAGCACCACCTAGAGTTGGGGAGAAGATCAAATGAGATAATCCATGGCAAAGTACTGGCTACAGTGTAAACTGCGTTGTATGAATTGATCACATAGTTTTCAAACAATTGGCTCAAATGCCCTCCCTGAAATGTAAAAGACACATAAAAGAAAATCAATTTAAAATAAAATTATACACGGGGCTTCCCTGGTGGCTCAGTGGTAAAGAGTCCATCTGCCAATGCAGGAGACACAGGTTCCATCCCTGATTCAGGAAGACCCCACATGCCATGGAGCAACTAAGCCCGATCACTGTAACTTCTGAGCCTGTGCTCTAGAGCCCGTGCTCTGCAACAAGAGAAGCCAGCACCATGAGCTGCACCGCAACTAGACAGTAGTCTGCATAGCATCAAAGACTCAGCATGGTCAAAAATTAAGAAAAGAAGAAAACCTTTATTAAAAAATAAATAATATATATTTCAAACCATGGATATACTGAGGTAGAGACCATTGTGAAGTAAACAGATGTTTGTGCTACTTTAATATGAATTAAAGGAAGGGGATCGGATAAGAAACAGGGGAAAGTGGAATTTTCCACTCTTGCCTGAAGGCTCTGACCCTGTGGCTCTGTTGACCCAGAGAGGCCACACCCTGAGTTGCTTTAGCTGAGGCTTGAGCACTATGGACAGTGAAGGAAGCGGACTGCAACATTCCTTTTTTCTTTTTCTTTTTTTAGCTCTGTGGTCTCAGTCCAGGGTAGGTGTTAGGTGTTAATTCTCTGCTCACATTCCCACTTTGCTGTGAGCCAACTGAAACACTGTTCCATTTCAATATTACCAAAACTTCCTCTTCCTCCAGAGCCTTATAATAAGCCAGTATCATTCTCTGTTGAACAAGAAGGGACACTCTAGCTTGCGTTTCTCCCTGGCCTGAGCCAGAATTAGAGTTAACTTCTGGTTTCCTGGGGATCACAATAACAGATCAGATGATAAGAGAAAGAGGAATTTAACCGTAACTTAAACAAACATGGGAGAAGGAAATGGCAACCCTCTCCAGTATTCTTGCCTGGAGAATCACATGGATGGAGCAGCCTGGAGGAGTCCATGGGATCACAGAGAGTTGGATTTGACTAAGTGACTAACACTTACTAAACTAACATAGCAAACACACCAAGGCAAATTAAGGTGGAGAAATTAGGAAGTATGGAGTTCTTGCAAAATAATGGGTTTTATCATGAAGCATTGTAGCAAAATAATTCCCTCCAGCATGACACACGGGGGCTTCCCTGGTAGCTCAGTGATAAAGAATCCATGTGCCAGTGCAGGAGACAAGGGTTTGATCTCCGATCTTGGAAGATCCCCTGGAGAAGGGGATGGCTACCCACTCCACTATTCTTGCCTGGAGAACCCTGTGGACAGAGGATCCTGGCAGGCTACATTTCATGGGGTCACAAATAATCAACACAATTTAGCGACTGAACAACAACAAGAAGCATAACACAAGATGGGATAGGCTCTAGGCTTGGGTAGGTTCTAGGCTCGGGTCATTGAAATAAGTTTTATTTACTTATTTTTTTAAAGTTTTATTTTTTTAAAGACTCATTTATTAGGTTACTTCATGAGAGCAGAAGTGTGTCTGTGTGTGTGTGTGTGTGTGTGTGTGTGTGTGTGTGTGTCTGTGTCTGTGTCTGTGTGTTAGTTGCTCAGTCATGTCTGACTGTTTTTTCAACCCTATGGACTGTAGCCCACCAGGCTCATCAGTCCATGGGATTCTCCAGACAAGAATACTGGAGTGGCTTGCCATTTTCTTCTCCAAAGTTTTATTTTTAATACCTTCGTGAATGTCTAGCAGGACAGTCAGACATCGTGTGGGATGTGGGACAATTCTGGGTAGGATGAACTCTTTTGCTCCATCCCGAGGTCACCGTGACTACCAACACGCTCACAAATTCCCGAGCTGCCTCTAGGGGGCGATCTTTCGCTTACTCACTTCTGCTGCTAGTCCACCAGCTAGCTGCTCTGCGATCTTGAACCCCCTCTGAGCTTCAGTCGGCTCATCTGTCAAGGCAGAAGGCAACAAGGCCTGATGTGCCACAGGACTTCCTCCAGACCCGCTCGTGGTGCACTGCTATTTCCCCCAGTCTTCAAAGAAGGAAGGGCTTCCCTGGTGGCTCAGTGGGTAAAGAGTCTGCCTGCAGTGTGGGAAAGCTGTGTTTGATCCCTGGCTTGGGAAGACCCCCCTGGAGAAGGAAATGGCAACCCACTCCAGTATTCTTGTCTGGAGAATTCCATGCACAGAGGAGCCTGGTGGCCTACAGTCCACAGGGTCACAAAGAGTCGGGCACCACTGAGTGACTAACACTCAAAGAAGGAAAACCGAGACTCAGAGAGCAACTTGCTCAAGGTCACACGATGGGCTGATGAGTGGTGAAGGGTTCCTCCCACCGTTTGCCTGACCCTAGTTTCAGGCCTCATTCTAAGTCAGCACAGCTGACCAAACACTGGCAAAGATTTGGCAGCCGTGTGTATGGAGGCAGCTGTCAGGGTTTCCTTCTTCCTCCCTTCCTCCCAAACAGTGCCTCCCTTGGACCAGGCCAGGTACCCAAGATGGGGGAGGTGGGTCTTCAACAAATCAGTGCACATTTCCTATCCATAATACCACACAACCTCTCAGTACATTACCTTTTCATTTTACTTTCTCAATGGCATTCAATTATTACTAATCAAAACTATCTTTGTTTACTTCTCCATGATTTGTCCCCACTAGTTTTGTGGGTGTTGTTCAGTCGCTCAGCTGTGTCTGACTTTTTATGATCCCACGGACTGCAGCACGCCAGGCTTCACTGTCCTTCACCATCTCCCGGAGTTTGCTCAAATTCACGTCTATTGAGTCAGTGACACCATCCCACCATCTCATCCTTTGTTGCCCTCTTCTCCTCTTGCCCTCAGTCTTTCCCAGTATCAGAGTCTTTTCCAATGAGTTGGCTCTTTGCATCAGGTGGCCAAAGTATTGGAGCTTCAGCTTCAGCCCCACAAGTTTAGTTAGCAGTTAAAGGAGTAGGCTCTGCAGCGAGACTGCCTGGGTTCAAAGCATGGTTCTGTTAATACCAATTGTACCCTTAGACAATTGGATAATTTGCCCTTAGACAGATTACTTAACCTCTCTATTCTTCAGTTTCCTCATTTGTAAGGTGAGATTGATAATAGTTCAATACCTACCTAGGAGGATTGTTGGGAGGATTAAAGGACCGATTTTTATAAAAACTTAGTATGATACCTAGGTGGCTCAGATGGTAAAGAACATTTAGTTCAGTTGCTCAATCGTGTCCAACTCTTTGCGACCCCTTGGACTGCAGCTCACCAGGCTTCCCTGTCCATCACCAACTCCCAGAGCTTGCTTAAACTCATGTCTATTGAGTCAGTGATGCCATCCAACCATCTCATTCTCTGTTGTCCCCTTCTCCTCCTGCCTTCAATCTTTCCCAGCATCAGGGTCTTTTCTAGGGAGTCAGTTCTTCGCATCAGGTGGCCAAGTATTGGAGTTTCAGCTTCAGCATCAGTCCTCCCAATGAATACTCAGGACTGATTTCCTTCAGGATTGACTGGTTGGATCTCCTTGCAGTCCAAGGGACTCTCAAGAGTCTTCTCCAACACTGCAATTCAAAAGCATCAATTCTTCAGTGCTCAGCTTTCTTTATGGTCCAACTCTCACATCCACACATGACTACTGGAAAAACCATAGCTTTGACTAGACGGACCTTTGCCAGTGAAGTAAGTCTCTGCTTTTTAATATGCTGTCTAGGGTGGCCATAGGTTTTCTTCCAAGGTAAAGAACATAGTAAGTGTTCAATAAATATATATTTTGACTTCGAACATGCAGGACCTTAGCTCCCCAATCAGGGTTTGAACCTGAGCCCCCTGCATTGGAAGCGCAGAGTCCCAACCACTGGACTGCCAGGGAAGTGCCAATGGATGCAGTATTGATAAGACTGTTAAATACACATACTCCCTGAGAAATCCCCTACAGAAATACCCCCAGCCTTGTTTGTAGTCGTGAAAAACTGGAAACAACTTAAGTGTTCATCAGTAGGTGATTGATCAACATCCTTCTGTGAAATATTCTGTAACCATTAAAAAGAATAAGCTACACTGATAGCCTTGATGAGAAAGCTGTCCATAAATCATTGTTAAATGAAAACATTAGGTTAACAGAACATCATGTATACTATAATTCAAACTTTTGCATTATATCTGTTTAAATAATATAGATAACGAGTATTTCATTTCAGCATAATACAGGTGTGGCACATTTCTCTTGGTAAGTAAAGAAGATACATGACCAGATAAAACAACGGTAGAAAACTCTAGAATAAGAAATTCTATTACTGGAAGTCTCCCTACAGATCAGCAAACCCAACCCCATTTAGCAAACGAGGAAGTATGGACCAGAGTGACTAAGAGTCTCTGCTCTACAGACATTAGGGCATTAACCATATGCCAGGGACTTCCCTGGTGGTCTAGTGGCTAAGACTTCACACTCCCAGTGCAGGGGGCCTGGGTTTGATCCCTGGTCAGGGAACTAGATATAGATACCACATGCTGCAACTAAGAGTCCATATGCTGCAACTAAAGATCTTGGATATGGCAATGAAGATTGAAGATCCTGAGTGCCACATTTAAGATTCAGCAGAGCCAAATAAATAAATATTAAAAACACAAGCTATATGCAAGTTACTTGCTTGGTGCTGGGATATAAAAGTAAGTGGAACATGGTACCCACATTCAGTGGGTTTGTAGACTAACTACTGTTACCAGTGTGATAAGTAATGTGAGAAAAACAAATTCAAACTGCAAGGTGGACCTCATCCAGACTGGTAATTCCCAGAGAAGGTCATGTGTTAGCTGACCTGGAAAGGATAAGCAGAAGTCAGGCCAGGAGGCTGTGAAACAGGGCCCCAGGAAGGTGAAAGGGGAGAAGTGTAGTGCATTTAGTTAACCAAAGGAGTTGGAGTACAAGGGAATTCTACTCCTGGATTTAGGAAACAATAGTCTCCTGTCTTCCAGTTCAGGGATATTTTTTTTAAAACTGCCTGGCTCTCTAAGACTATTGACAAGTACAAGATGATTCAGCATGTCTACAAATTTCTAACATAAAAAAAGAAAACATACATGACTCATGCTTACCCAGGTGTATACATGAAGATTTTCTAGGAACTTCCCTGGTGGTCCAGTTGTTAAGAATCTGCCTGATAATGCATGGGACATGGATTCAATGCCTGGTTCGGGAAGATCCCACATGCTAAGGGGCACAGCTAAGCCTGTGTGAGGCCTGTGCACCACAACTAAAGAAAGGCCACACGAAGCAAGGAAGACTCTGTGCAGCCAAAATAAATAAATAAATAATTAAAAAAAAAAAAAAGATTTTCCAAACCCTGTTGCTTAAAGTGTCTTTTTAAACTGGGTAGTGAAAGTGAAGTTGCTCAGTCATGTCCAACTCTGCGACCCTGTGGACTGTAGCCTACCAGGCTTCTCCGTCCATGGGTTCTCCAGGCGAGAATATTGGAGTGGGTTGCCATTTCCTTCTCCAGGGGATCTTCCCGAACCAGGGATCAAACCTGGGTCTCCCACATTGCAGGCAGAGGCTTTAACCTCTGAGCCACCAGGGAAGCCCTAGGCTACATGTAAACTCATGAAATCAGAACACTCCCTAATACCATACATAAAAATAAATTCAAAATAGATTAAAGAGCAAAGTGGAAGATAGGATATCACAAAACTCTTAGAGGAAAAGATAGGACACTCTATGATGTAAATGGCAGTGAGATCTTTTTAAATCCCCCTCCTAGAGTAATGAAAATAAAAACAAATGGGACCTAATTAAACTTAAAAGCTTAGGCACAGCAAAGAAAACCATAAACAAAATGTAAAGACAACCCTCAGAATGGGAGAAAATATTTGCAACCTAATGCCTCTCTGACAAGAGAAGACTCCTCAGAGTCTCTTGGACTGCAAGGAGATCCAACCAGTCCATCCTAAAGGAAATCAGTACTGAATATTCATTGGAAGGACTGATGCTGAATCTGAAACTCCAATACTTTGGCCACCTGATGAGAAGCACTGACTCACTGGAAAAGACCCTGATGCTGGGAAAGATTGAGGGCAGGAGGAGAAGGGGATGACAGAGGATAAGTTGGTTGAATGGCATCACTAACTCCATGGACATGAGTTTGAGCAAGCTCTGGGAGTTGGTGAAGGACGGGGAGGCCTGGCGAGCTGCAGTCCATGGGGTCGCAAAGAGTTGGACTCAACTAAGCAACTGAACTGAACTGCCCCTCCCGCCACTGGGTGGCAGCCCAGGGCTAGATACCTGAGGGAGACCCTCCCCTCCCTACCTCCCACTCCCTTACCCCAGGGCAAGCCTGGGTCCAAGGGATTGCTGCCTAAGCACGTCTATAATCCTAGTTCTATAATAAAAATCATTTTAATTATTGAAAAAAAGGGGAGTGAGCAATGGGGTTGTGTACCAAACTCTCCTTAGAGGTTATATCCTCAACTGGGATTCTGGATACCTTTAATTTCCTCCATTACAGACGCTAGATCTCATCAACATTTGACTTTTTCACAGTGTATAAGGAGCTTGGTGGTCAACTGTCCATAGGGTTGCAAAGTTACCTGTTTTAGAAGGAGGGGAGAAAAGGAAAATTTTAAGGGTCAGTTTATTTCATCCCTTTCCTTTATTCAATTCCATGCATACTATGCCACCTTCTGGTCAAGAAATGGCTTTTTGTCTGTGTCAAGGAAAATCATTGTTAAAAGTGAGTACAATGGTTACAGTATCTCCCACCTGCAGGTCAAGGTGAAGAGAAAACTTTGTTTTGCTCAAATGGGTGAGGAGTGGGTGTGAACAGGGTCAAGCTGAGTGACTGTAGGTTTTTTTATATAGAAAGCACCTGAAGCCCTCATGCAAAAAGCCAGTCCTCAAGCAAGAGAAAGCAGAGGACAGATCAGAGCATGGCCTTCAGCAGCGTAACTCTGTCAGAGGAGGAATTAGTAAAAGGATTAGTAAAAGGAAAGTACTCTGTGTAACTCTCTCCATGTGTTCTCAAGCAATCTTCAGTGAAGATTGCTGTGGCTTTTCAAGGCTCTTTGGGAAAGCATTTCAGATGTTAGATGAAGAAGGATAGACAAGGAAGCCCCAGATTTCTTTGCCACACTGTAGCTTTCTCAGAAGGGCTTCCCAGGTACTTCAGTGGGAAACAATCTGCCTGCCAATGCAAGTGCCCGCGGGTTCAGTCCCTGGGTGGGGAAGATCCCCTGGAGAAGGGAAGGGCAACCTACTCCAGTATTCTTGCCTGGAGCATCCCATGGACAGAGAAGCTTGGCAGGCTACAGTCCATAGGGTCGCAGAGTCGGACACTAATGAAGCGACTTAGCACGCACGTACATGTAAGAAATTAAAAGATACTAGGATGTAAACCATCATAGTTAAATACTTGCTCCCAGAACTGTAGTACATTCCTGGAAAGATCCCCTAAAAGCATGATTTCTGGGTCTACAGGCATGCTTGCTTCTATTTACTTTTTAAAATTAAAAAATAAACTTTATTTTTCTAGGAGTTTTCGGTTCCAGAAAAATTGAGGCAGAAAGTCCAAAGAATTCTCATACGCCAACTGCTCTCCCTTCAATCAACAATCTTCTCGCTTAAAAAAATAAAAGTATTATTGACTGATAGAGGCTTTGGGGAATGGGAGAGGATATAGAAAACACACAAAGACCCTGGTTTGGTAAAATAAGGTTCGGCCGAAAAGCCGGGAGCAGTGTGTCAAAGTGAAAACTACATTTCCCAAAGGGTAGCGCGGCACGTCACAAAGGATGACGGCGCATGCGTAAAGTGGTCCTCCGCGCTGCGACTAAGCTCATAAAAGGGAAAAAGGCTGTGTGGGTCTCGTCCTGCCGCGAATCTTCGAACGTAAAGGGCGTTGTCATCTGCAGACTCTGAAGAGCATTCGAAGGACCGCGCGCTTGCTCCCGCCGTCGCAGTTTCCAGCGCGACGTGCTTGTTCCACCCGTGGCTCTGTAGGTAGGTGTGGGTCGCGGTCTGGGACACCCCCCTTCCGCCGCACACCCCCGCCCGGGGGATGGCGGGAGCGGAGGGCCGGTGGTCCTCATGCTCCGGCCTCGCTGAGACGGCTCCTGAGGGGCGGCGCGCACGCGCCTTGGCGGAGAAAGGCGGGGCCCCGGGAAGGAGGGCTGGTGTCGACCGTCTGTACCGTCTGCGCGTGCGTGCGCCCGCCAGCCCTGCACGGGTGGAACGTCGCCGCACGTGGAGCTTGGCGGGGTGGCCCAGGAGGTGGGGTACCCAGGCCAGGTGCGAGAAGACGAGGGCAGAGGATGGGCCCCGAACCTTGGTAGCATTTGTTATTTGCTCATGATGTGCCCATCTTAACCAAACCACCTCATTCTTCATTCATGTTTCTCCTGGCGCCTCGTTTCTCTGCCCTTGTTTGCAGCCCAAATTTCGGTCTGTATTCACTAGCAGTTTTTCTCCTCTTAACCCACTCCAGTCGGGCCTGGACCCCACTCTTCCACTGAAATAGCGCCTTGTCAAAGCCACCAGTCATCTCTAGGTCGCCAAATTCAGTGTTTAGTTCTCAGACCTGTAGCAGTATTTGATGTAGTTGATCTCTTTTTGCTATGGAATATGCCGAAGTGTGACAAAACTTGGAAGAGTATAGATTTTATAGTTTGCAGGCTTGCAGTGGCAGCTTGACTACTTGTATTCCCTGAGTTACCTAGCATGACTTCACCCAACTGAACTGCACCTTCCCCAGCTGTGAAGAAGATGGGCTTGTAGCAGTGATGTAGACTTAAATGAGAGTCACCTGTGTAAGCTTCAGTACCAAAGTCTGGTAGGTATTGGGTATGGGTGTAGGGTGGGATAGGTGGAAATCATAAGGTCTTCTTAATTTAAAAAAGGAAGCTAATTGAGGGACTTCCTGGTGGTCCAGTGGTTAAGAATATGCCTTGCAATGCAGGGGACTTAGTGTTTGTACCTGGTCAGGGAACTGTGATCCCACCTGGTGTGGGGCAGTTAGGCCCAAGCACCACACCATTGAGCCCACAGCCACATCCAGAGAGTCCATGGGTCCCACGTGATGCAACAAAGATCCTGCGCGCTGCAGCTAAATGAATAAATGAATAAATATTTTCTAACAAAACAAACTAATGTAGATTCTTACTGATGGTGGCTAAATTGAGGGTATGGGATCTGAATGTAGTCTTGGATGCCTTGCTTTCCTGTGGCTCATGACAAAGCTTTTATTGTCCTCCGTCCTGTGGGATTATTTTTAGAGTGGTTTAAGTATAGACTGTTCTCGTTTGTATGAGAGGGTCAGACAGCAGTTTTAGACTGGGTGTTTAGCAGTTACTGTGTGCTTTTCCTCGTAGCCTTGGTCCCTATGAATTACCTCTTTTTAGTCAAACTTCTCAGTTGCAGGTAACAAAAAGGTAGCCCAAACTAGCCTAAGCAGAAAAGGAGTATCTGTTGACTCTAACTAAAGAGTCCCAGGTGGACCAGCTTCAGGTATGGCTGTATCCAGAAGCCTTGGTTATGTCACCAGTATTTTCTGTGTCTTTTCAGCTCTGCTTTCCTCCATGTTGATTTCTCCCTCAGGCAGGCAAAAATCTCCATCAGTTCCAGGCTTGTATGCTACTCTCTTAGTCAACAGAAAGAGGTTTTTGTTTTTTTTTTTTTTTGCTTCAACAAGAGATTTGAAATTGATGTTGGCCAGATTTGGGTCACATATCTCTTTCAGAACCAGTTGTGCTGGGCAGGAAGACTGTAATACTTCTGTGGACCCAGGTGGTATACTCAGCCTTGGAGCCAAGATGAGGGATGGTTTCCCAAAGGGAAAGTACTATTACAAGACCTAAATGTTCACTTAAGAAAAAGGAACAGGTGTCTTTAAAAAGAATCACATATGATTGCTCTTAGCAGTTTTATTCATAATTGCCAAAAATGGACATAGACGCTATTCAGAGAAAAAAGTTAAATAAACTGGTTTGTTCATACAATTGATGCAACTCAGCGATAGAAAGCAACAAACTCCTAATACACACAGCAACACAGATGAATCTCAAAACACATTAAGTAAAAGAAACCAGACACTGAAGTATATGGATGGCATGATTATATTTGTGTGAAGTTCTGGAAAAGGCATTACTAGTCTCTAGTAGTAGAACATAGCAGAAAAGTGGTTCCCCTTGTGGGTAGAAGTAGAAAGTCTGGAAAGAAGAGGGTTCTAGGACCCAGAAGGTTTAGGGTTACTGGGCCTTACCTCAAAATTCATAAGAATTCTGAAACCATATGGGGATTATGTAACCGCTCCTTGGTTTGAGACTAATGCTGAGATGAACTGGGACCCTTGAGCTTGGATAACAGGCAGTTTGGGCTGAACATTCCATTTCCTCCCAGCTGGGAGCTCCCTGGTGAGCTGTGGTTCCAAGTCTGTGTTCCCACTTGTTTTGCACCAGCAGGCTTAGTGTTCTCAGAGTGGAGAGCTACAGGAACCTTTACTCAGAGTGTATTTTCTGGGGAAATTCAAGTTCACAGCTGACTGGATCTGGAGATAGCAGTGTGTGCACGCTCAGGCACAGAGTTGTGTCCCGACTCTTTGTGACCCTATGGACTATTGCCCACCAGGCTCCTCTGGCCATGGCATTCTCCAGGCATTTGCCTGGAGCGGGTTGCCATTTCTTCCTCCAGGGGATCTTCCTGACCCAGGGATCAAACCACATCTCTTGTGCGTCTCCTGCATTGGCAGGCAGATTCTTTACCACTGAGCCACCTGGGAAGCCCAGAGGTAGCGGTAGTTTATTGTAAAATCATAAAATGAGGTGTTTCTCCCAGGCAGGGTGCTCCCTAGTGGGCAGAGCCCCAGCAGGGGCGGCCCCTTACATGGTGGCGGCCGTGATCACTGCCCCCTGCTTGGGGTGCGTCAGCGTTTTCTGTTGCTTGTGCCTTTGACTGCTTTGCCCAACTTAATAATACAGTCCCCTGTCTTTTCCTGGCACTGCCTTATTTACACTTCAGAATTACTTCACATCAAATAGAAATGAGGTGAGACGAGAGCATTTAAAAAGTCACAAGTCAGCGTTTTTTTGAGTGTGAGTGCGTCCTAACAGTTGGTGTAGGGGCTTCCTCTGCCTTAAGACGGGCCTCTTGTCAAATTTGGGGCCCTCCTTTCCCACCGCTGCCTTCTGGTTGCAGGATGAGGCCCTCCCTGGCTTGGTATTTGACCTACTCCTCCTCCAGACCACGTGGGTCAACTTTTTCACTTAAGTTTGCTGACAGTTTCAACCGCAGTTGTGTGTGTCTGTTTCTGCATCTACTGATTGCAAAAGGTTTTATGAGACAGCACTTTTTTTTTCTTAAATATACGTGGGATCTTTCTGGAAAATTACCCAAGAAACAACAGTGTTTGCTTCAAGGAGTGGGCGATTTCCTGACACTACTCATCAGTGGGATTATTGATGAAAGGGTCTTGTTGATGACAGCAGAGATGACTATTCTGCCTGTGGAGCTTTCTAGGTTGTTTGGAGAAGAAAAGATCTACCTACATCTACTGGCTGGAAAAGCTGGTTTATAGATCTAGGTGAAAGTGTTAGTCACTCAGTCGTGCCCAGCTCTTTGCAACCCCGTGGAATGTAGCCCTCCAGGCTCCTCTGTCCCTGAAATTCTCCAGGCAAGGATACTGGAGTGGGTTGCCATGCTCTCCTCCAGGGGATCTTCTCAACCCAGGGACTGAACCCAGGTCTCCTGCATTGCAGGCAGATTCTTTATCTTCTGAGCCACTAGAGAAGCCCGTAGGTCTAGATAGGTTCCAGGAAAAGTCAAATAAGAGTTAAGTTAGGCTTCTTTAGGGTTAGTCAGACAAGACCAGTCTTTAGCTGGTTGTTGAGGAAAATGTACCCTGACACAGAGGGAAAGGGTAGGTCTTCCCTGGTGGTTCAGTGGTAAAGAATCCGCCTGCCAATACAGGAGACACAGGAAACATGGGCTCGATCTCTGATCCAGGAAGATCCCACATGCCGCAGAGCGACTGAGCCCACGTGCCAGCACTACTGAGCCTGTGCTCTAGACCCCAGGACTGCAGTTACTGAAGCCCATGCCCCTGATCCTGTGCTGCACAACGAGAGAGTGGCCCCTGCTCGCCACAAGTGGAGAAAGGGCCACACAGCGGGGAAGACCCAGCACGGTCAAAAACACACAAGTAAAATGAAAAAGAGGGAAAGGGGCTGCCTCTCGGGCTCTTGGGAGGGTAGAGTGGGATGGGACAGAACATCTGTGTTTGAGAGTCTGTAGTTAAGACGCACTGGAAGGACTGTCAGCGGATGATGACACTAGGTAGGCCTCAGGACTGGATCCCATCCTTCACCCTCCTGTCCCTTCACATGCAACCCTGTTCTCTCCCGCCCCTCAGCCAACATGCTTCCATTTCCTCCACCTGTAATCCCTCTGTCTGCTTGCCTCTCCTCAAACCTCCACCCCTGTCTCTGGGTCACAGCCCTGCTAGCAGGGAATTGCTATCTTCGTTGCTACCACACCCCTCCTGCATGGTCCCTCCCATTGACAGTGTCCGCCCCCCAGGTCATCAGTAACACCCTATTTGATTCTGGAGACAGTCCTTTTCTGTGGCATGTGGTTTTATCGGTCACCCTCTCACGTAAACTTTCCGGCTTTGAGGGAGATTAAGATTTGGAGATGTCACTGCACAGACAGGGCCGGGGGAGGAGGTTACCTAGGAGTGGGAGGGGACAGCAGCCCGGCTTGAGCCCGGAGGAGCGCCAGCATTTGTGATTCTGTTTATTTGTGTGTTTGGCTGTGCTGAGTCTTTGTTGCTGTGCGGACTTCTCTCGTTGCAATGAGCGGGGGCTGCTCTGCAGTTGAGGTGTGCGGGCTGCTCTCTTTGCGGAGCACAGGCTCTAGGACACGCGGGCTTCAGTTGTTGCAGCACGTGAGCTCAGCAGTTGTGGCTCACAGGCTTAGTTCCTTAGTTGTGGCTCCATGGCTTGTGGAACCTTCCCGGATCAGGGATCAAACGTGTGTCTCCTGCGTTGGCAGGCAGATTCTTTATCCCTGAGCCACCAGGGAAGCCCAGCTCCGGCGTTTAGAGAATGTTCAGAAGGGAGATCAGCCCAGGAGACTAAGGAGGCGCCGGGGTGAGGTATAGGCAACCCGCACAGCAGGGAGGCCCTGAAGCCAGAGGTGGAGGAGGGAAGGGACACCTGTGCCCACATGCTGACACATCATGTCAGATAAAGCAGGAAAGGATCCAATGCTTTGACCTGTAGGAAGTGATTCATTTTTCTCAAGAACATTTTCGCTGGACTGGTGAGGATGAAGCTAGCTGAAAGTGGGTTGAAAAGTGAAATGGGGATGAAGAAGTAGAGAGGCATGTGCTTGGA